TATATCCTAGTCAAGGAGTCAGTGATTGACGCCGATGGCTGGTCCAGAAGCGTGTTCACCAAGATGCCCATAAACCAGGCAGCCCAGCCGTCCGAGCAGCAGCAGCAGCAGCAGCAGCAGCAGCAGCAGCGATAGACGCGCACGTGTCTGCCTGGATCTGAAAATCCGGGTTTGAACGGCAACCGGACTCTGACTGTGGGGACACTTCCTTTGTTGTCTAATGCTTTATGAGGAACGATTCAACATCATGGCCGCTTATGGCATAATCATAATATTTACATTACCATCGCATACATGCGGAGTTTGATTTTCAAGGGACGGGATTATTTTCTGATTTTTAATCCGGGATGGATGCAGCGAATATGGTTCGGGGCACTTCTGGGGTTTCATTCAACATTCAGTTCTTGTATTATTAGATCCATTTGAGAGATACCATTGCGATGGTGGCGTTGCGCTACCCTAAACCAAGTGAGACAAAAGCTTTTGTTTTATGATATCTGGTCCGATTATGATTCGAGGACTAAAGGCTTGGAATTTTATGACATGAAAGAAATGGCTAAGCTAAAGTGATTAATGTCCCAGACCTCTATGGAAGCCCATTCACGGGAAGGGCACGACTAACGCGTGACCCAAATCATGAACCCCTCAAACTGGCTGGAGCACCGTCTGGCAAGCACCGCTGGCCCCGGAGGGACGGCGGAACCGCCATATACCATACGAGAGATTGAGGCATACGGCGGTAGTTGGCTTGCGTAAAATGAATGAGGAGAGGGAAAGCGGCGCGAGGAAGAGGTGGTGGGGAATTAAATAGGAGAATTGATCGGACTCATGTGATGCGGAGAAGCCCTGACGAGCTCCAAGCCCTGAAGACTGACCGCTTGGGGACTAGTCATCCCGTGACCCGTGACGGGACAGTAATAGGACGGTAATAATACCGAAGCTCATACAGCTCATACGAGGACTCACCGCCTGCTTATCTGGACGAGAAATTCTTCCTCGTCGCCTTCAAGCTTTGGTTGAAAGAGATTCGAAGGGATTGTTCTCCATGAGCCAGCTGAATGACAATTGCGCTTGTTTGAGTTCGTTCCATTCAGCTGTCACTTTCCTCATTCGTTGCTTGCCTGGCTCTGCCTCGGTTGAACTTCTCCAATCCCAATCCTAGCTATCTTATCACTGTATTTCCACCTTCCATTCGGAATCATAATACTTGACAACCAAAAGATGCGTCGCTTTACCTCAGCCCGACGGTTACCGCTCCTTCGCCGGAGCTCCGCCAGCATCAGACCTTCCTATGCGCTCTGCCCCTCCCCACCTCTTCTTCCTCATCCTCCTCCTCCTCTCTCTCCACTCATTCACACTCTATATCTTCTCTCTCATCCCTCGCTTCTGCTTCTGCTTCTGCTTCTGCTTCTGCTTCTTCCTCATCATCATCTTCTTCTCCTCTCCCCACCCTCTCTGCCTCCACTTCTTCCCCTCCCGTCCTTCGTCGTTCCCCTCTTCGCTCCACTACTCTTCCTAAGCTCCAAAAGCGTTATTGCTCTTGTCGCAGGATGTGCGGTACACGTCGTGGAGAAGTGTCGGGCTCGACCAACATCACCCACGGTCGTGAGGTCCTGCCCACCAACGTCAAGCCCCTTCACTATGACTTGACTCTCGAGCCCAACTTTGAGACTTTTACCTATGACGGAACTGTCATCGTCGAGTAGGTGCTCCTTCACCATCCTGACTGCTCCTGTGAGCTAGCTGCAGCTTCAGCTAACATTCTCTTGTAGCCTCGAGGTCACCGAAGACACGAATTCCATCTCCCTCAACTCCAACGAGATCAAGATTCACAATGCCGTTGTTTCTGCTCAGGGCTCTGTCGTGGCCTCCCAGCCCGAGGTTTCCATCAACCAAGACACCCAGGTCGCCACCGTCAAGTTCTCCGAGACTATCCCCGCTGGCTCCTCGGCCCAGCTGAAGCTGACCTTCACTGGCGAGCTCAATGATAACATGGCCGGTTTTTACCGCTCCTCATACAAGACCTCCGATGGTGAAACCAAGTACATTGCTACGACCCAGATGGAACCTACCGATGCTCGTCGGGCCTTCCCCTGCTTTGACGAGCCCGCTCTCAAGGCCAAGTTCACTATCACTCTGATCGCTGACAAGAGCATGGCCTGCTTGAGCAACATGGATGTTGCTTCCGAGACCGAGGTTGACGGCGGCAAGAAGGCGGTCAAGTTCAACACCTCTCCTCTCATGTCCACCTACCTCGTCGCTTTCATTGTCGGCCACCTCAAGTACATCGAGACCAATGCCTTCCGCATCCCTATCCGCGTCTATGCCACCCCCGATCAGGACATTGAGCACGGTCGCTTCTCGCTTGACCTGGCTGCTCGCACCCTGGCCTTCTATGAGAAGGCCTTCGACAGTGAATTCCCCCTGCCCAAGATGGACATGGTGGCCATTCCTGACTTCAGCGCCGGTGCTATGGAGAACTGGGGTCTGATCACCTACCGTATTGTTGATGTTCTCTTGGATGAGAAGACGAGCGGTGCTGCCCGCAAGGAGCGCATCGCGGAGACCGTTCAGCACGAGCTGGCTCACCAGTGGTTCGGAAACTTGGTCACCATGGACTTTTGGGATGGCCTCTGGCTCAACGAGGGTTTTGCCACCTGGATGTCCTGGTACTCTTGCAACGCTTTCTATCCCGAGTGGAAGGTCTGGCAGACTTACGTCATCGACAACCTGCAGAGCGCCCTGTCCTTGGACTCGCTCCGCAGCAGTCACCCCATTGAGGTGCCTGTGAAGCGTGCCGACGAGATCAACCAGATCTTTGATGCCATCTCTTACTCCAAGGGCTCGTCCGTTCTGCGCATGATCTCCAAGTACATGGGTGAGGACGTGTTCCTGCAGGGTGTCCGTAACTACATCAAGAAGCACGCTTATGGCAACACCCAGACGGGTGACTTGTGGGCTGCTCTCGCCGATGCTAGTGGCAAGCCCGTTGAGCAGGTGATGGACATCTGGACCAAGAACGTGGGATTCCCCGTTGTCACTGTCTCTGAGGATGCCAAGACCTCATCCATCAAGGTCAAGCAGAACCGCTTCCTGCGAACGGGCGATGTCCGCCCCGAGGAGGATACCACGCTCTACCCAGTCATCCTGGGTCTGCGGACCAAGCAGGGTCTCGATGAAGATACCATGCTGAGCGAGCGGGAAGGCGAATTCAAGGTTCCCGATCTGGACTTCTTCAAGCTCAACGCTGATCACTCCGCAATTTATCGCACCTCCTACACCCCCGAGCGTCTCACCAAGCTGGGTCAGGCTGCTAAGAATGGCCTCCTCACCGTCGAAGACCGTGCTGGTATGATCGCCGACGCGGGTGCTCTCGCGGCGTCTGGCTTCCAGAGCACTTCCGGACTCCTGTCTCTTCTGAAGGGATTCGATAGCGAGTCGGAATTCGTTGTGTGGAACGAGATTCTGACCCGTATCGGTGCTCTCCGGGCCGCTTGGTTGTTTGAGGATGCTCCCACTAAGGATTCCCTCAAGGCCTTCCAGCGGTCTTTGGTCAGTGAGAAGGCCCATGAGCTTGGATGGGACTTCTCCGACAAGGACGGACACATCCTGCAGCAGTTCAAGGCACTGATGTTCGGCAGTGCCGGCTCGGCTGAGGATCCGGTTGTCGTCAAGGCGGCCCACGATATGTTCGAGCGGTTCGCTGCCGGCGATGCCAATGCCATCCACCCCAACATCCGCGGCAGTGTGTTCAGCATCGTGCTGAAGAAGGGCGGTGAGAAGGAGTACAACATTGTGTTGGACCGGTTCCGCAACGCCCCGACTTCGGACGAGAAGACCACCGCCCTCCGCTGCTTGGGTGCCGCCGAGGACCCGGCTCTGATCAAGCGCACCCTGGAACTGGCCAGTGGCGACGAGGTCAAGAACCAGGACATCTACATGCCCCTGAGCGGCCTGCGCAGCCACACCAACGGTATCGAGGCCCGCTGGACCTGGCTGACCACCAACTGGGATGCCATCTTCAAGCGCCTGCCCCCGTCGCTGGGTATGCTGGGCACTGTTATTCAGCTCAGCACCGCCAGCTTCTGCACGGAGGCCCAGCTGAAGGAGGTTGAGACCTTCTTCAAGAGCAAGGACACCAAGGTAATTTTCCTTCTCCCCGGCTTTGCTATAACTAGTCACATGACACTAACCTTGGTGATTAGGGATTCGACCGTGCCGTCGAGCAGAGTCTGGATGCCATTCGTGCCAAGGTCAACTGGGTCAACCGTGACCGCGCCGACGTTGGATCCTGGTTGAAAACCAACGGCTATTCCCAGGGCGGCAAGCTATAAGCGACCACTTGGCTCGCATTCGTGTTGACGATCGCTGAGGATCAGGACACTCAAAGCCGCGCGAGGCCTACATACATACGTACGCCCTCACATTTTTGTAGAATATTCTCTTTTGGGCAAATAGTACATTGATTTGATCCCCCCCCCCGGGGGCCACGAAAGATACCAAATATGACAGCACTCTTCTCTGAACTATACATGGAATGCCATGATCCCTTCTTGCAAATCTAATTACGACAGAAACGGAGGCAGCGATCGAACTAAACATTCCTCAAGTGGCATTTGTCGTCGGGGCAGGTGAGACAAGTCACGTGGCATGCGGCCACCACTGCCCCTTAATCCTTCAGTGTATGTAATCTGAAGGAAGTGCAAATACTTTACGCTGCTCGAGCCTCATCTCCGCTCGTTTTCGACCAGATGGAAGGGAAAAAGGTACGTATTCCAATATATAGAATATTTCCAAGTATGTGCAACCGTGAGCAGAATCGCAGAAAAAAAAGATACAGTGGCAGCGAGCGTGATCAGACTGGGAACACCTCAAGCATGAGCCAGATATAGACACATATAGAGAGATTGTGAAGTATAACAAAGAAGAGATGGGTATACAGTTTGTGTACATGCGTACGAAAGGGGAAGGAGAGAACGGGTGTTGCGTAGTCAAGGTCCTTACCAGACATAATCCCAGAGGAGATCCAGCCAGTCCGGAACCTCAAATCCAAGCACGGTATGCTTGGGCCGCCGGTACCACGGCCACAGCCATGACCAGGGCGAGGACTGGGGACGCGAGGAGATCCATGGGAACGACCACTGGAGTCTGCCGCCCTGGCCCTGATTCTTGATGGCCTGGACGATGCGGTTGAAGACATGATCGTGCTGTTGGAGTTGGCGGGAGCGTTTCGCGGTCCTCCAGTCCAGCTGTTCGGTTGTGTCTAGACACCAGACCACGATATCGCCCTGACGACGCCAGTCGTCGTGCCAATCGGTATTGTGAGTGCGCCAGCATTCGCCGTATGAAGAACCACGGAGCAGTTTCTTGAGCGTGGGTTCCATCTGGGCGAAGAAGATGAGGTAGTCCGGCCAGTTGTGCTTGAGGGTAGCCTCGGATCGTAGAGATGATCGGGACCGTTCCAAGTGGGACTCGTAGCTTGGTCGCCGGGGAAAGTAGCTCAATCCGCCGGCCATGTTGGCACGCAGGAATCCAGAGGGATCGTCATAGAACTGATCGGCTTCGTCACGATACTCCGCCTTTTCGGTAGCATTCATTCCAATGGGAGGCTCGCAAGAAAGCGCCCAGGCCTCGATGGAGGGATAAACCATATGAGAACGCCACGGGGTGCTGTGGCATGGCATGAGGAAACCGGCAATAATGCCGGGCTCACTGATGTTACTCAGGTTCTTGGAACCATGGACTCGCCGTTGGTCTCTCAAGTATGAAAACACAGCATTCGGCCCAGACGCATGATAGAATGTGGTGTAGAGCCCAATGACAACGTTGCACAGCACAAGAAACACCAAAAGAAGTCGGCGAGGAATGTGCCTGCCAACCGACTGAGTCACGGCAGGGCCAAAGAAGTCCACCAAAACTGGAGAGGTCAAGACATGCACCGCGGGCAGCAATGGATAGATGAACCGCACTTCCTTGTGGGAAATCAATGAGAGCACAAGCGGCATGGAAAGGCACACGTAAGTCAGTTGAGTTTGCAGTTGAGTCTGCGTTTCAACTTGCAGGTCATTGCTAGCGGCTGCCTGCGAGCGTGTCCAAACACGATACAGGCCCACAAAGGTGAACGGGAGCGCAGTTGTCAGCAACAGAGGATAGCCCTGGGAGAGGTAGTAATGCCAATCGTTGCGCCCGTAGAAAACAGCCAGAGACTGGGCAATATTGAAGTAGAGGAATCGGAATGGAGGAAAGGTCCAAATTCCGTAGAACAGTCGATCTGCCACGATTGATACAGCTAGGACGGCGGCGCTTGGAATGGAGTCAATGCAAAATCCATGATGCAGGATGAAGACGACTTACCCCCAAATTGCAGCTTCGCGAGCTAAAAGTTTTCTTCGCGCCCAGGTGCTGCGATGCAATACGACGCTTGCTAGGATCAGCCAAACCAAGATGTTAGTGGGCCGCAAAATACAGGCCAGGGCTGCAAGCGGGAGACACTGTCTCAGCCTATTCTCCATGTTCTCATATTAGCCATTCGTATAGCAGCTTTCACATCTGCAGGACAGCATAACATACCTTCCGAGAACCACTTCATCATGCTGATGCCGTTGGCCCTCTCTCATCTTATCCCAGGGCGTGGTGATTGCCCGGCTAGTCGGTTTGGCTTGTACGGGGGCTTTCGGAGCCACCGACCATTCCCACGGCCACAGATATAGAGCGATGACAGTGAGCGTTGTCTCAAGGCAATTGGACAAAGTCCTGGTAGAACAAAACCATTGCCAAGGACTAAGGGCGGTCAGCGCCAGCTGGGTTCCCAATTAGTCTTTCTGCGATGGACATGTCAAGTTACAATCTGATACGTACCGCAGCTGAGGCCTCCGCACTGGCTAGACCATAGGCACAGCGAGCCAGCTTCCAGGTATAGTAGTCTCCGAGGGCTGCGATAACGGCCTGCGCCGTCTTCGGAGCGGCAATGAGAAGATCCGCCTGCCATGCAGGGGAGAGGTGCAAAGCACGAGCGAGCCCGTTGGCAGCGGAATAAACAGCGGTAAAGAAGAGAGGGTGAAGCGAGGATCTCAACTGGTGCCGCCACTCCTGTAAGATGACACCATGCGGTGAAGCAATTAGTCACCGAAACCGGGCGGATTGGTGTGAGAGCGAACAGAACGCAGAAGACCAAATAGTGTTGGAGGGTGGGCAAAGTACCCAAGGGGACCAAGGGAAGCGATGCCGTAAAGGTGCAGACGCGTTCCGCCAATAGCGGAAGACAAAGAAAGGGAAGGGGGGAAAGCTCACCCAGGTGATCCAAGCCCCGTGATTTTCGCCAAAGGCCGCCTGCCAGGCCGGTTCCAAAGACTGAAAATATTCATCGGGTTGGAAGAAGGTGCGGGTAGTCAAGGCATTTAAAAGTCGAAAAGCAAGCAAGTAGAGGAAGACGCGTAGGGAATCGGGTGGAGAAGGTAGGATTGGGAAGCGAGGCGGGGAGGGAGTAGGCGTTCGCGGCCTCAGTTGGCGAGGCAAGTATAAGGGCCCGTCGGGGTCATCCGAGGGAAACCCAGAGGCCAGAGAAGCAGCCGGGGACACGGAGAAGGGGGAGCAGGGAATGGAAGGAGGTGAGGAGGCTCTTGATCGGCCTGACATATTAGTAGTCGTGGAACCCAGTCAGGAACCAGATGATATGATTCCCAGATGCTGCGAATTAAGTTATGAAGTATGATGATGATGTTGTTGTTGTTGTGGTGGTGGTGGTGGAAGAGTGTGATGTAATCGAGCCGACTCTAAACGGAGAGCTGCAGGAGAAACTGCACTACTGTAGTGTAGGTAGTGTAGTGTACACTGTACAGTAAGTTTTTGTTGATAAGGAATTTCAGAATCACCACCAATCGGCTTGACCAATCATCGGTCACTGTGACAGGTCTCCGAGCCGATAAGTAAGGTGAGGAGGCGAGGATCCGCAGCGTGGCGTAGCGTGGGTCTGAACAGAAGGTGAGGTTGTTGTGGTTAGTAGTAATGAAATGAGCGTCACTGGGTTTATGGAAGAAGGCAAACTAGCAAAGGAAAAACAAAGTGGACAAAAGTGGAACTCGCGGTGGATCGACCATCTCCTTATCCGGGGCTTAGTCAGAATGGGTGGATGATGCAGTGGTAATACTGTAATCGTAAACTGGTCAACCGCCTACTAAACTGCAACCGCCCCGGGTACACCTGCACTTAGGGATCATCCGCGTAGACTTGCACTTAGGAGTCTAGTTCATCTCCGCAAATTTCCCATCTGCACCCATCTTGTCTCTTGGTTATCCTCGTTTCCCTCGTTTCTCGCCTTTTCCTCCTCGGCCGGTGAACAATTCCTTTCCCTTTCCTCTTCGTTTGTCGTTGGCCTCGCTACATTTGCCTGTTTCTGCCCGCCCGCGCAATTCTTATATCTTCCCTCTTCTCGCCCACCTTTCCTTCGCCTCCGCTCTCTTTCTCCATATACTTACTTCTCTTCCTATTCCTTTCTTCCCAGCTTCATTGACCAACTCTTCCCTACCATTCAATCTTATCTTCGTTGCCCCGCATAATATCCCACGTCACTTGTCTTCACCATGGCCACCAAAGCCACCAAAGCCAGCAAGCCTGCCAACGGCCCCAGCGGTGTCGATGGCGCTCACTCCTATCACGCTGCCACCACTCAGGTTGCCATCAGTGCTGAGAAGGAGTATGCCGCTCACAACTACCATCCCCTTCCCGTCGTCTTCGCCCGTGCTCAGGGCACCACTGTCTGGGACCCCGAGGGTCGGGAGTATCTGGATTTCCTGTCCGCATACTCTGCCGTCAATCAGGGTCACTGCCACCCCAAGCTGGTAGCTGCTCTGGTGGAACAGGCCTCTCGGCTAACCCTCAGCTCTCGTGCCTTTTATAATGACGTCTTCCCTCGCTTTGCGGAATTTGTCACCAAGTACTTCGGGTTCGATATGGTCCTGCCCATGAACACAGGTGCGGAAGCCGTTGAGACTGGTATCAAGATCGCTCGGAAGTGGGGTTATAAGGTGAAGGGCATTCCGGAGAACCAGGCGCTCGTCCTGAGTGCGGAGAACAACTTCCACGGACGCACGGTAAGTGGGCTTGCGAGTCTGGTCCTATCATATCGACTTAGTCAAAGCTAACATGATCATGGATGTTAGTTCGCCGCTATCTCGTTGTCATCTGACCCCGAGTCGCGCGAAAACTATGGCCCCTATCTCCCCGGTATCGGATGCACCATTCCCGGAACGGACAAGCCTATTGCCTACAACGACAAGGCGGCTCTGCGGGAGGCCTTCGAGAAGGCGGGCCCCAACTTGGCCGCTTTCCTGGTGGAGCCCATTCAGGGCGAGGCGGGTATCGTGGTTCCCGACGAAGATTACCTGCAGGAGGCCAGAGCCCTCTGCGACAAGCACAATGTCCTCTTGATTTGCGATGAGATCCAAACTGGCATTGCCCGTACTGGTAAGCTGCTCTGCCACGAGTGGAGTGGAATCAAGCCCGACATGATCCTGTTGGGCAAGGCCATCTCGGGTGGCATGTACCCCGTGTCTGCCGTGCTGGGCCGCAAGGATGTCATGCTCACCATCGAACCCGGCACGCACGGATCCACATACGGCGGTAACCCTCTGGCCTGTGCGGTTGCCATCCGCGCTCTGGAGGTCGTCCAGGAAGAACAGATGGTCGAGCGCGCTGAGAAGCTTGGTCACATCTTCCGCGACGGCCTGCTGGCCATCCAAAACCCTATCATCCAGAATGTGCGGGGCAAGGGTCTGCTGAATGCCATCGTTATTGACGAGTCGAGAACCAATGGTCGCACCGCGTGGGATCTCTGTATGTTGATGAAGTCCAAGGGTCTCCTGGTAAGTTTCAGTCTATCCAGCTCGTCGTGGATGGTAACGTGGACTTGCTGACACTGTGTTTGTTAGGCCAAACCCACCCACCAGAACATCATCCGTCTTGCGCCTCCCTTGGTCATCACCGAAGATGAAATTCAAAAGGCCCTGGACATTATCAAGGAGTCAGTGGCAGAACTGCCTACTCTCACCGGCGAGGTTGAGGAATAGATTATCCCCCCCACCTGAGAAGAAGGTCAAGGTGACCCTCGAGAACTAGAAGCCAGACACAAGAGGGATGCGATCAGTCAACCTCTCAATGAGAGGCCTTAATCTGTTCTTTCCTGGGTTGCGACGAGGGCTGTTTAGGGTCGACACCAAAGCCCTGACCTATCAGCCTGATGGTGCTCTAGTTCACCCAGAGCCAGAGCCATTTTCTTGCTCGCTTCTAGCGACCTGAACTGAAAGACTTTTCCGTCACAAGTACGAGAGAAGACAGGATTTTCTCTGGATGCAATATCCTAGACTTGGTAATGGAATTGGTGGGCCAGGCAAGCTTTGTGGCGAATGACGACTTGTAATGATATGTTATGACCTTAGAAGCATTGTGTAGCAACAAATTGATAGCAGCACATTTTTCATCGATTTTCAAGTAAGTAGTAGTTGGGCAATTTCGGCTCATGCCAGGTGGTTACCTATCATAATATACTTGTGCGGCTGATGGATTGGCTGTTTGTTGTCCCGTGCCCTTTTTGCTGCCACCCCCTCTTTCTTTCCCCTCTTCGACCAACAGCTCCCATTAATCCCTCACCCTGCTACGGTAGTATGTATTGATTGCTACCTAGCACAGATCTGTCTAGTGTGGTGCAAATGCAATTTTTCTTTTTCCAGTGAAGAAAAGCAAGCCTGGTTTCCTTTCCCCTCTTATTGATTCGGATCTCTTCTAGTGCCATGTCGGTCCTCGCATCTGGTATGCCACTCTCGGCACGCAACCAAGGTGATCCTATACATCGGTGGTTACACTGACTGCTAGCTCTAATTGTCCCGGAAGCTACATTGCGATCCTCGGTACAGGTCGAGTCATCGACGATGATAATAGCGAACCTATTTGATGTCCGGCCCAAGACTGAATGTTGATCTGCAAGGGAGCGAGAATAGTCCATTACCGGGCACCGGATTTTCCTTGGCGTCGGCAACATTCCTTAGAACGTGATCGTCAGATATATACATGCAAGGACCAAGCCTCCGGTCTCCGTATAAGGACCTGAATTTGCTATCGCATTAAGTACCATGGCAGAGCGATTCTTGACTTGTTATTGCTCGTGCCCCCCAGGACGGAACGCCAAATGCCAGAAACGCAAAATAACACAGTCAGTCCAGTCCCGACCTCTAATCCTTCCGTCCCCCATCTAGTCGACATAACGTGGAGATTGTATGGACTACTTACCGCTTATCCTTACGCGGGATCTATTAGCCTGAATCGCAACTAACATCAGCACTAGAACTAATCCATAGTTATATCTGCCGACGTTGAAAAGGCTCTGAGATAGATATATCTCCAGGTCCCTGGACGATACGCAACAAAAACTAACAAACGTGGCCAATCAATGATTGCCGGATGTTTTATCTTCGAACCGACACCCCCTCTTTTTTTGGCTTAACCGGTTTTCTGCTTCCCATTGTTTCCGTCAGTCGCCACGGTCGCATATAATCTAAATGCACGCAATGCCTATTTGATTGACTCGAAGCTTTCCGCTTTGTTAGATTCCATCAACGCTCTTTGTCGCGAGCGCTCCAATTCTACCTGTTGGGCTTAGTGGGCCCTTATATAAACTGCAGTTTCGGATGCAGGCTGCCCCAGGAATACGATCTCCTCACTCATATAGCTTGAAACAAGCGAAATCGTCATGAGTCAAGTTGAGGAACCGAAGCATGGATTGGTGTTGGTCAACGAAGAAGAAGGAAAAGGCCAAGTAATGGAGCTTGCAACGTCTTCTCGATCAACGCAGCTGGAAAGTGAGAACGAGAAACAGGATCAAGTCCAAAGAGCACCGGTCAAGACTGCGCGACGAAGTTTGAACCCATTGCGACTTCAGAAAGTTCCTCCTATACCGAAAGAAAGAGGAGTCAGTAAGGAGTATGGGGCTAGCATTATCAGTCGCGTGACTTTCCAATGGATAGCACCATTGATCAAGGTTAGTTGGGGTTCACCCCGGTTACTCACCCACACCATGCTCATGATGTACAACAGACCGGATATCTGCGTCAAATAGAGATTCAAGATATATGGTCTGTCAATCCAGACAGGAAAGTGGACCTTTTAACGGCCAGATTCGATGCTGCATTAAAATCACGAACGGATAGGGGCTCAAAAAAGGCGCTGGTATGGGCACTATTCGACACATTTAGGCTGGAATTTATTATTGGTGGTATATGTCAGGTTGTGAGTATGATACTCGCTGTCGTAACACCATACCTTGTCAGAAACCTGACTAGCTACGCAATGGACGCATATGCCGCCCATCACGGCAATCACCCTATGCCCAACCTTGGCCGTGGACTCGGGTTCGCGTTTGGAATTCCCGCAATGCAAGCAGTGCAAACACTGTGTCTGAGCCAGGCTTTCTACCGCGGCATGATATGCGGTGGTCAGATCAGAGCGGTGCTTGTGTCTGCAATCTACACCAAGGCAATGAAATTATCAGGGCGCGCGAAGGCTGGAAGCGAAGTGCTACTGGCCAGTGGAAAAAAGGACAAGAAGCCTCCCAAGCGGCAAAACATGCGAGGAGGTCCTGGCCATGGCGAGGGGAATGGTTGGGGCAGCGGACGCATAATCACGTTGATGGGTGTGGATGTGGACCGTATTGATCGAGCGTGTGGCTTAATTCATATGCTCTGGACTACACCCGTTGTCTTGGGGGTAGCTTTGATTTTTATGGTTATCAACATCGGCTACAGTGCACTCCCAGGCTACGGGCTGGCAGTATTCGGGGCCATTTTGCTGGCCTACTGTGTCAAATCCCTGATCACGCTCCGAAGAGCAGTAAACAAGATCACCGACAAACGAGTGTCCTTGACACAGGAAATTCTTTCGAGTGTCAAGTTCGTGAAATTCTTTGGTTGGGAAAGCAGCTTTCTAGAACGACTCGAGAACCTGCGCAAGCGCGAAATCAGCTCTCTCCGACGGCTGTTGGTGATTCGACATGCCATCACAGTCAGTATGCTTTCGCTCCCGGCATTGTCTTCGATGCTGTCCTTTATCACGTATGCGTTGACAAACCACACCCTCTCCCCTGATCGCATTTTTTCCTCGTTGGCCCTGTTCAATGCTCTCCGAATGCCACTGGCTATTCTGAATCTCGCAATGACGCAAGCGACTGATGCTTGGACCGCCCTTCACCGTATACAAGAGTTTCTGTCGGCCGAAGAACGTGAAGAAAGCATTACCTGGGACTACACGATGACCAATGCTGTTGAGGTCGAACATGCTTCATTCACCTGGGAGCGAGTGCGCGATTCAGCGGAAAGCCCAGTAAATTCCCGCCCCAGCCAAGCTGCGATCGCTCCGGGGAGAACAGAGGCAGCATCATCTAACACTCTCTCGGAGCGGGAGGCCGACGCCAAGACTCCCTTTCAGTTACTGGGAATGGACTTTGAGATTGGCCGCGGTGAGTTGGTCGCCATCATCGGATCGGTGGGCAGCGGGAAAACTTCACTACTGGCAGCCTTAGCGGGCGATATGAGACAGACAGCAGGGAATGTTCGGATAGGCGCCACTCGGGGGTATTGCCCACAGTATGCCTGGGTACAAAATACTACAGTTCGCGACAATATACTATTTGGAAGGGAGTATGACGCGGATCGGTACAACGAGGTGATCGATGCATGCGCACTTCGTGCGGACCTGGCGATGTTTCCGGACGGAGATCAGACTGAAATTGGTGAGCGTGGCATCACTATCTCCGGTGGTCAGAAGCAGCGATTGAACATCGCGCGGGCGATCTACTCAAACTCAGAGCTCGTGCTCATGGATGATCCCTTGTCAGCGGTCGATGCCCATGTAGGACGCCACATCATGGATAACGCCATCTGCGGACTTCTCAAGGACCGATCCCGAGTGCTCGCCACCCATCAATTGCACGTGCTTGGACGTTGCGACCGGATTATCGTCATGGAGGACGGAAAGATCCATGCAATCGGCACTTTTGATGATTTGACGCGCTCGAGTGACATCTTCAAGCGGCTCATGTCCATAACGTCCCAGCAAGACGCCTTGGATCAGGAACCATCGAGCACCAGCGCTACTACCGACGAAAGACCCGAAACCGCACGAAGAGTGCCAGGTGGTGCCTTGATGCAGAAAGAGGACATGGCAAGTGGCTCGGTTGGCTGGGATGTCTTGAGAACTTACGTCAAAGCATCGGGATCGTATCTCAATGTTCCTGTTTCGCTGTGCTTGATGTGTGTTGTCAATGGCGCGCTGGTCATGTCCGGGCTTTGGTTGTCATTCTGGACTTCCAATAAATATCCTGGATTGACCACGGGCCAGTACGTTGGAATCTACATCGCGGTTTGTTGCAGCCAATTCATCGCGATGTATGCGTTTGCGGCGCATGTGACAATTGTGGGCGCCAATGCCAGCAAGAAAATGCTTCAGCGTGCAATGTATCGGATCTTACGAGTCCCCATGTCTTTCTTCGACACTACGCCAATGGGCCGTATCACCAACCGTTTCTCGAAGGATGTGCAAGTGATGGACAGCGACCTACCCGATTCGATTAGGTTATTCGTCTTGACGTTGTCACAGATTACCTCCACAATTGGGATGGTGATTGCGTTTTACTACTATGTAAGTACTCCCGAAACCGCCATCTGTACTTTTCTGACTGTGATGTTGCCAGTTTGCGATAGCGTTGGGACCGTTGGTCCTCTTATTTCTCTTCGCAGCAAGCTACTACCGTGCGTCGGCCCGCAACCTCAAGCGGCATGAGGCAGTCCTCCGTTCCAAGGTATTTGCTCGATTCGGCGAGGCGATTGCAGGCTCTGCGTGCATTCAAGCATACAAAGCAGAAGAGCACTTCAAGAAATCTATTCACAATGCCATCGATGACATGAATGGCGCCTATTTCTTGACCTTTGCCAACCAACGATGGCTCGGAGTCCGACTGGATATGGTTGGCACCTTGTTGATTCTGGTGACGAGTCTCCTGGTTGTGACTTCACGCTTGGATGTCTCGCCCAGCATCGCAGGCTTGGTCTTGTCATATGTGGTTTCCATAACCCAGACCTTGGGATTCACGGTGCGACAATTCGCCGATGTGGATAACAACATGAATGCTGCCGAGCGTGTAAATCACTACGGCACGCAGCTGGAAGAAGAGGCTCCTCTTCATCTGACGGACGTCGGTAAGGAGTGGCCTTCTGTCGGTCGCATCACATTCGAAGACGTGCAGATGCGCTACCGAGTCGGGCTCCCTCTGGTGCTCAGGGGACTCTCCATGGAAATCCGAGGCGGAGAACGCATTGGGATCGTGGGTCGCACGGGGGCGGGCAAGTCCAGCATCATGTCCGCTCTGTTCCGACTGACCGAACTATCGGGGGGCAAGATCCACATCGACGGGGTTGATATCGCCACCGTCGGGCTTTACGATCTCCGCACGCGGCTGTCGATCATCCCGCAGGATCCGACGTTATTCAAGGGCACCATCCGCTCGAATCTGGATCCATTCAACGAACACACTGACCTCGAGCTCTGGTCCGCGCTTCGCAAAGCGCACCTAGTCGACCAGGAAGCCGTGGACAAGAGCTCCGATGAAGGAACCGTCACCCCCGCACTCACCGACACGGGTACGCCCGTGCAGAAACGCCTCAATCTCGACACCGTGGTAGAAGAGGACGGACTGAACTTCTCGCTCGGCCAAAGACAGCTGATGGCGCTGGCGCGCGCTCTCGTGCGCGACTCGCGGGTGATCGTCTGCGACGAGGCGACCTCGTCCGTGGACTTCGAGACGGATCAGAAGGTGCAGGAGACGATGGCGCACGGGTTCGAGGGTAAGACCTTGCTGTGCATCGCGCATCGCCTGCGGACGATCTTGCAATACGACCGGATCTGCGTGATGGGCCAGGGACAGATCGCGGAGATGGACACGCCCCTGCGGCTGTGGGAGGCCGGGGGTGTCTTTCGCAACATGTGTGACCAGAGTGGGATCACGCGGGAAGACTTTTTGGGCTGATAATATGCGTGAGGATAGAGTTGATTTAGGCATTTATATAATCTCTAGTCTGATAGGCGGTAATCGATTCGACTAAGGATCACGTGGACGGGTCAGCTTCGAGGTTGCTTGCTGTAGGAGCCGGTATCGATTGCAGGATACTTTTTGGGCCATTAAGACTTGCCTTGTTCTTTCGCCAAGATAATGAAAGATACGTATGTATTGAAGACTAACTGAGGTGATTCTTGGATGTTGATTCATTTTCAAGGCAGAGATACAGTGTTGGTAGGGTATTGTGCTGTACATCAGCATGCCGCTTCAAGTACTGGTGAGTGCTATAACGGTCAACTATAGTTTCTTACTAGGTAGTCACTCCGTAGTCTGATTATCAGTAACCATTTACAGCTACCCACTACATCCAAATTGGCGTCTCATACTCGAAGTGAGTTTATACTGCCATCCTGCAGGTACCCAGCACCGTCTCGATATCCATGAACAGTCCTTGAATCTCCGTTGAGACTCCGAAGGAAGACGTACATCTGATGCTCACCCGCTCGAAAGGATTGATATGATAAGTCATTTGCAGGCCCGTTCTTCCCCAGCTCTTCCACGGTAGGGCAGTCATTCCCTTTACAAGAAATACAAAATCAATACGAATTCAACGCCGGCGGTTCGCTGCAGGTGCCGTGCGTTCCAGTTCATACCGCAGCCCCACTGAGAGACACCTTAGACCCTGCTTGATGTCTGTTTCTGCTTGCGCTGGTTCGCACAAACTGGAGTATGAAAGAACAATGTGTCTCGTGAGGTGTTCGCGAACAAAATGTCCCGCGATCGTCGAATTGTCTCCAATATAGTAGTGTCTGTTTTTTTTGTTTTTGTTTTAGGGAAAGTCATTGGGGCTGGGGTGTCTGGATATGGGGCTAGTGATGGCTCAAAGATTGGTATTTGATTGGAGCTTGCATGCGGAGATACACTCGAGAACGTGACTCTGGTGTATGCTGGATGATAGGAGGTGATGAGACACTTGGAAGACAGGCAACTGTTGTAGTCGATGGCGGGGTAGATGGTGGTTTGTCGGTTTGGGTATATTACTTCGTGGGAGTAGTATATCGGGTAGTACTTGTGCATAGGGGGAAGATGCACGTGAACCTACTAGGAGTAGGCGGGAGGGGAAACTCGGATGGTGGGATGTTTCTTGTCTGATTCGGAAGACATCGGTCTCATGAAGAAATAAATAAAGAGAAAAAGAGAGGGAAGAAGGGGGGGAGAAAGGGAAGATTTATGAGTGGATCTAGACCCGGGGCTTCCAACACTGGCACTGCAGAGAGGAAGGGCGCCCCTCGGAATAGACGGAAGTACAGTACAGTACATAGAAAGGGCAAGCAGGCTAGCTCTGGGCCGACGAAGCGAGATGTGCTACTGTGTTGGGATTGAAACCCAACCACTAGAACAGACAGTGGGCGGGAAATGCATGCAATAGGCGGCTGCGTATGCGTGGGTGTCTACTTCGCCTGTCCCTTCAGAGGTCATTCTTACTCAGAGACTTCTAGCCTGCACCCATCATGCTTGATGAAACTTTGCTTGGACTCTCCTCCACCGGGTTCATGTACATACGTCGGCCATGCATGACACTGGGTCTTCATTCTTGGCCAGATACAAGCTGTATGTGGCCAATCCATCCTACTTCCAGAACTATGTCCGGAGGATCAGGGTCTAGCATTGGACGGATATGCGGGTTGCTGGGCGTCTCTCATCGACTACGGTCGTCCTCCCTGTCAGTGCCTATTGGATGACTGACTACACCAAGCAAACTCAGCCAAGGCCATGAACAGCCCCAACCCAGCCGCCTGCTGCCGGCCACTCGACCCCGAGGTACTGTACCTGCCCGTGCACCGTATCTGACCCGCTTGTCAGGTACTATGTACTACACCGGTGGACCGTGTCGGAAACCCTCCTCGCTGGACAGGATCAGCTGTTCTCCCTCCTCCTCCTCCTCCTCCTCCTCCTCCTCCTCCCTCGCCAGGGCCACAACCTAACCTAACCTATGAACGACAGGTCCCATCACCACCCCAGAGCCGACGGTGCTTGATGATTGGAGAGACCCGAACGTAAGCGTGAGAAAGGAGGGGTGAAGGGGGGGAGCTGGTCTTGCCACTCAACCCGACCCGGGAAAAGACCCTAGACACACACCCATTCGGTGCGTGCGATGAAGGGGACCTGGAGTGATATCTGGCTGCCTAATGAAGTGGACCCGGGAACAGGCGCTGGCCATCCCAACTGGAGGAAAGAGCTGCCGCCGATGGTTCGGATGCACTGAGTTTTAAATATAAGCTTATTTGAACGTTTCTTGATGCTGTACGTTGTGTGTTCGTGTAAAAAAACCCCTCCATTGTTGGTGTTGAGCTTCTTGCCCGGGATAAGACCGATGTATAGCGCTGTTTCGAACTCGGGCAATGGGTCAAGAGACCGATCGGTCACGTGCAGACTAGAAAAAAGATTTTTTTTTCTCAATCCTTTCCCTACCTTGTCACAAGAAATGCAAAAAACACAATCAATCAGCCGAAAAAAAATGAACGAAGAGATCCCACGAGTGAAGGAAGAAACTCCACCAGGAGATTTGGACCAGAGGTATAGTAAGGCAACGGGCCACTCAGGAAGCAGCACTGGATTGCAATGGGCGGGCTGCAGGCCGACCAAAGTGGAGACCAACTCATCGTGTGATAAACTGATGGGTAGCAGCATTATTAATGCGCACCATGATGGATGTGGATTCATGCCGAAAATGATGGTAACGGCTTCAAGTTCAATCCCAATCAGATACCAGCGCGACAGCCAGGATCGGACCACCACCACCACCACCCCCTCTTACAAGTGCCGTCCCGTGCCCTGCAGGCGCAAGGATCTGTGTGCAACACGGCCAGCCACGTCACAGTCGCTACCATGCTGATCAACAATAGAGACAGCGCCATAGTATTGAAAAACAGTCAATGCGTAGACTGTCAATCTGACCATCAGCCGTTAATCCATTCTGGACAAGGAAACTACAACGAGGCCCCAGGCGCGCGCAGGTAAGCGAGCGAGAACAGCCGGCCCTCCGCAGAAGGAGACACTAGGCATGGTGGATGACATGGTGGTGATCTTTCACAGCATCTGTCACGAGAGGGCGGATGATGACGATCGACAGCAGTATCATTTTTTTTTGCAGCGCCGCTCGCCCAGCATAATCTCCGTCCGAGACTCCGAAGAGATCCGAGCAACGGTTGAGAGATGGCGATGGAACGAGAATGATCCCTAAAGCCGAAACCAGAGATCAATAACAAAGCTATGTGTAGAACAAAGAAAATGGCTCAGTCTGTCAAGCGAATCCTAAAATGGAGATGAGCCGGGAAACCGAAGGTATATCGTTAACTTGAGATTGGTGTGATGGCGAGTCAGGTCGAGGGTACAGTACAACCAGATGATGGGTGGAAGCGGAAATACGGGAAATGAGCACGCGAGTGGGGCGGCGGATTGTTCGGCTTACAAGTCCGAAGGAGAGACGCGGTGAATTGCCTGATCGAGAGACGCGAGAGCCGTCAGAGCCGCGCCAGGGGATGAAGGGATGAATCTTGAATGGGATGGATTATCAAATCCCCTCCTAAGTGAAAATTTTCAGCTCAATACCTCCAATCTCGGAGCCAATGGTTCCCTACAGGGCAAACTAGTCGTTACTCCGAGTCCGAAGAGGGTCCCGTTCCATATTTCTTCCCGTACTATTGAAACAGATTTTCTTGTGTGCAGAGGCTGGGAGCTGCTAATGCTGTCTTCTGCAGTCACAGCAATGGTATAAGAGCGGATGTTGTTAGAGATAGATCGCTTGTGCAACATCCGATTCCGAAGACAGAAGAAGTACTTCAGTCAAACAGATCAAGCATCGACCGCCAAGACTGAATTGAATTGGCACGACGTTTGGTCAGCTCATGCTGAAGGAAGGACCACTACACGGCTTGGCGCTGCAGGAGCTCCGAATAGATGCTCTGGGTCCGGGCCCCGAATGCCGCAGCTGGCCGACCATTGCTGACCACATTTAGGGTACTCCGTAGACCACATCACACAAAAATTCTTTGAATCTTTCAGCTTAGTCAAGGTTTCATGAGCGGTAACTAGCTAGTCCAGTAGCCAGCTAATCAGTCGACAACAGCGTGCCGGTGGACGTTGATATTTTGATATTCGATGTTTTGACTATGTGACTAAGCCCTCGTCATCAATTGTCCGTGACGACAACAGCAGCGGACAAGCACTCCGTCCACCTCAAGTATCGACAAACTGTTTTCGGGGAGGAGAACTCGAGACGATCAAGAGGGGAAAGAGGAGGTCTGTGAGATGACAAGAAGGCCCTAGACAATGGCACTAACAACTGAGTAATTAATGAGACCCTTTGACTCATACCAAGGACCGGGGTGGGAGCTTGAATTTTAGTGGCCCGATCCCATAAGCAAGTCCCGACTAGGCTCTTGAAGGAAGTACTTTGACCCTAACTAATGCACACCTCCGACATCATACATGTACTTATACTATAGCCAGCCCTAAGGTACCCTGGCGGTTGGGAGGAGGGGCTGACAGCGACCTGGTCTGTAAATGTCGTAAGTGAATAGCTAGAGACTAAAATAGTCGGTCAGCGACCAACAAGGGACGTAAGTCTTTCGTCCTGTAATCTGAGTGGTGGTTAGGCCCATAGTTCGTAAAATTCATCATTGAATCCAGAGCGCTGTCCATTTCCGGTTCGTCGTCTTGCCGTCTCCTCCCGTGCTGCTTCTTTGGTCTCTCTTCGACCCTTTCGACCCTTTTCGACCCTCAACCTCAGCTTCCGAGACTTCCGACTCTGGTTGCCAGATCTGGTGACAAGACCACTGCAATCCACACTGACCATCGCCAACTAGTATCCATGGCAAGTCACCTGGCAAATCTGGCAAATCCATCCGTCTTATTAGGATTGCCCCCCCTTCGGTGCCGGCGCCGGCCAGTGCCGTTGTTCGAAAAGAAGACACCCGTCACAGGGCGCCTTTTGGAAAATTTGGAAAATTTTCAATTACACGCTGTTGCAATGCTTATAAATTAAGCCTAGCCCCGCTCGCTTTCCATTTGCAAGACGAACTGCACAATTGGCATGGTATCGTTTGGACAGTAGCTCTAACCGCCGTCTCTTACCGTTCCATTTGAACTCCTCTTAAACCTCCCCCTCCCTCTTCTTCTCGTTTTCCCCCCAAATCATTAGCGTCCCTGGTCCTTCTTTACCAGAGACTCAATTCTAGAGTGAAGATTGCGCGCAGGTGATTTTGGCAGCTGTGAACTGTTGGACTCCCAGTCGTGACTTCATCGTTGAGTATATATAATGGAAACGCAAACCGTCTTGGCATCGCGCGAATCCGGACGGAGCTCGGAGAGCAGCTCCTCCTTGGATGCCGTCGCCAACGAAAAACAGAAGCTGGCGGCGCACGACAGCCTGCCCGACCTCGAGAATTCGGCCTCGCCCAAGAGATGGAAGACATTTTGGAAGTCCTTCCGATACCTTCACAATTTGACGCCCAAGCAGGTCGATGACTTTATGGCTTCCTACGTCATTTACAACCTCGACTGGTCGGACGAGAAGCAGATGGTCGAGACGCTGGGACCGAACTATCAGGAGAAGGTTGGCGATTGTCTCAAGGCGTACTATGGCGTTCTCAACCATCTCTGTGCGTTGGGCGACGTGGAGAAGATGTATATTCCGCCGTACATGAGCAAAAAGGCGACCGTGCTGGAGAATCAGCTGTTGTATGAAGAGTCAATTGCGCAGGATATCGGCTTGTCGCCGGGTGATAAAGTGCTGGATTTGGGCTGCGGGCGCGGGCGGGTGGCCGCCCACATGACGCAATACTCGGGCGCGCAAGTCACCGGCCTCAACATCGACCCCAACCAAATTGCTCAGGCACGCTCTTACAACGAGGAGCTTGGCTTCAGCTCCAATTCCTTTGTCGTCCAGGACTTCAACAGCTTGCCCCTCCCCTTTGAAGATGCCAGCTTCGACGCTTTTTACCAGATCCAGGCCCTGAGTTTGTGCAAAGACCTCCCCACTCTTTTCCGCGAGATCTACCGCGTTCTCAAGCCTGGCGCCAAATTCTCCTGCCTCGATTGGGTCAGCCTGCCTGACTATGACCCCTCCAACCCCGAACACGCCGAACTCATGAGTCGCGTGAAGCCTCTCATCGGCGCCGTCGGTACTCCCACGCCGGAGAGCCTCGAGAAAGCCCTCACAGATGCTGGCTTCAAAGTCCTGCGCTCTGACAATGCCAGCGTCGGCGGCTTGCAAGCCCCGCTCATCGACAAGGTTGATTTCTACTTCCGTTCAATGCGCCAGCTTATCCTGGGCCTCGTCAAGGCCCACATGCTGCCCAAACATTTCAAGACCCTGATCAACCGCCTGTGCCTCGATGGCGAGGCGTTTGTGAAGATGGACAAAATGCGATTAGTGTCGACGAGCTACCGAATTATCGCACAGAAGCCTCGTCAATAGGCTAGCCACGAGTAAGACAGGAGGGTCAGGATAAGAGATATTGTTCAGTGTTGGTGTGAATTGGCTTTGTGATGAAGCGGTGGGGCGCGCCTTGGGCCCATTTAAAGGGCAATGGATCGTCCGCGGGTATCGATATCGGAAGGCTTGAAAACAGACTGCTCCACGGACTGGCGCAGCCGCGACTTGCCCGCGACTTGCCGACTGGAGCTCACATTGGTTGCATGCGACAGCCGAAGTCGCCATCATTATGTCGTGGCCGTCCTTTTCGCAACCTGCACAAGGGCACTGCTTGTATTTCCCTGCCTGTCATATATCATATCCGGCTCAACCCTGTCGTCGTTGCCTCTTTGATAAACACAAAAGTGAGTTCAGTGGCAAACGTCCCATCGCCGGCTAAGCGCACCCGTCTCGAACAGCCGAGTCCCGCAAATCGGCGTCGCAAACTTTCGGCCGGATATGCTGACTTGACTTTTAGTTGTCCCATCCACTGGGCCGCATTCTAGGTTATATATTGTTTTCGATTCTCGGCAATTGCCCGCTCTATACCCACAAATCTAACTTGTTCCCTGGAATGGTCGCCTTACCAATACCATACCGTCCACCGGCTGCGAAGTGAAGTCAGCGTCGCCGTGACCGCTGTGCTGTCACATAGGATACCGCAATCTCTTCATTGCTTATCGCAAATCTCCCATCCTCGGACATTTTCACACCTTTTTTTTTATACTTCCTAGCCGGTGTTGGTGCCCTTGCATATGTTTTCTTTCGATTGTTCGATGTTATATTCTGCTCCTCAAGGATGCCTTGCCCCTGGAGTGAGTGTTGCAGATAGAGGTACATAGACTTAATAATACGATTTTCCTTTCCATTCCACTGTTTTGGGTTCTCTTTGGCTGGAGGCGAACGTGAAGCAAAATCCGGGCCACCCATGGAACTTGAACTATGCGATAGAGAGTGACTTGGCACGGGGAGGGACACCGGCTGAGTAAGCCTGCCGATCCCAGCCTGCAAATGTCGCTTTTCGATCATTCTATGGTCGATCGATTCGATGGACCCAACAGGAATTCGGACGGGCCATGATTGTTCCCGTGCAGAGTGGGCGATTGATTAACTGATTAACGATTGAATGACAGACCCACGATCGAATGCAGGTCACTGCATGAGAGAGACATGCTTCAGGATTGCCCCTTCACTGCCCCTGTCAATGCTTGATGAACGTGGGCAAGTCAACACCTCCGATTTGGAGAACCGCCACTATGAACTCGGGACCTAGGAGCAGGGTTAAGAGAATATGGTGGGCATAAAACAGGATAACCAGGACCTCACTTTTTCCACCATGATACGATGCTTGGAAAATGATCCAACTATCCAAACATTGGCTGAGAATTCAGCACCTGGTTCCGAGGTCCAATCTTCTAGCGTGAACGGGAGTGCGCCTTACACCACGAGGGACTCAGACTACCTTAACTGCCCGGATGGGTCCAGACACGATCCCCTCTCCCCGTCCGGGCTCCACCCAACCAACTCTCCTCCCAAGCTTTTTCTGGTAGCCACTTGTTTGCGCACGTTGACAGGTTATCCCCCGCCTCTGGGTCCCCGGGAAAAAACGCCCCTTGGCATCCACTAAATCCGATGTATCCCATGTACTGGCACTTTTGAGACGCATTCTTATCGGTCGCTGGGCGGAGCGGGTTATGATTCTGGGTCCATTTTAATACTGTAGGTGAATCCACTCACACCAGGCCATCCGGGTGACTGTGTGATCGAATCGCTGGCCATGCGTCGAGGCGCTTCTCACGACTCATTCCATTCACTAGAGCATTCGAGATGGTGAAAATCAGCGCCCTTCCCCGTACGTCAGTCCGCCTCTGAGGATCCGCATGATCGTCTTCCTCTCGGTGACATAGTGCCTCTTGCAGCACCTCAATTAGTGGACCGTCGTGTCTACCATTGCGAGGAAGAGAGATCTGTCGATTCTTTGCAACCCCTCTGCAATGGGGCTGTCCGGCCTTCAACACGGTTCAGAAGATTGGCCCCTTCCACTTTCCCGGCGAGAAAGTACTCTGTCTTCATCAACTCAATCGTCCGGCCAGATCAGTCCCGGCACCTCGCCTTTCACCTCGCATCCCCTCAGCAGAACGGCTTCCTCTGCAGGCTCGCGATCGAGAGAAGCCTCGTGCTACTCGCTACATGAGGAAGTCATCCACATCCCGCTCAACAATACCGTCACCATGTGGGTGGACCCCTATTTTCGACCGAGAGTTCTTCCTTCCATTGACTTCATGGCAGTACTTTCGTGCGAAGTAACAAACTGTTCAAGCTCCGTTATACCTACATCGACGTACGCAAGGATACCACGGGAAGCCTCAGATGCCTGGAGCTCGGAGGTGGCCCTGGCCAGCAAACACCATTGATTCATACCTGTCTGTACCCCCTCCGTTGCATATTGGCTACAGACCGTCTTACACTTTCATGTCATTCTAGTTAACGAGTCGAAAATCCCTGTCCCACACTTAGAACATCCGAAACGTCCCAACGAACCCTCACTACGGATCTCTTTTATGGAAGAGCAGACTGTACAATCCGCACAGACCGTGTTTACCACCCAATTATCATACCAATTCGAAGAAGAAAAAGGTGCGCACAGCGGCTATCCGCTACAGGCAGGGTTCATACTGACAATTGAACCTTCAGACTGTGTTCAATTTCAGGAGATCATCCTAGCATCCAAATTAGTCTTTCTTGCCGGAATCGCAGAAGCCAAGTCGAAAGGCCGTGGAGAGGAGTGCATCAGTCAGAACCTACGTATCCTCCGCGGACCCAATGGCAAGCAAGTCATGCTATTTTTTGCCAACTCTCAGCGGAAAGACTTGAAGCGCTACGTGAAAGTACCAGGTGAGTTGGGACCCCGGTCGGCCAGTCGGCCATGGCAGGATTTGACCGGCTAATCTCTCCCAGTGAACTGCATTGACAGTTTTAATCCCGGCAAGAAGCCAGGGCGGCCTGTGGTTATACAGCTCCAACCTAATTTTGACATCCTAACTCAAATGAAGACGCTACAGATCCAATTCCTGGATGATACAGGTATGCTCCCTTGTGCACGCTTGAAACCTCCCCGCAGACTGAGTAATGATCCGGTCTAGATCGAATAGCGTTCTGCCAGTTTCTGGGCGACCACATCAAGTGAGAAGAGAAGAGAGGACGATAGCCTTTACGATTGCATAATTCAAGGAGAAGGGGGAAGGGGAGGGAGGATTGCCTCGGGCGACGGTGGCCACCACGTGTGTCCCACTGTATAAAGTCGTTGCTAGGCTCATAATGTAGGTCGAAGGATCTCTTCGTTTCGTATCCAGGTCGCACTAGTCTCCTGGTCTTTCGTTTTGTTCATTTGCCACGACATTTCATCTATCATTTTTATACCCGTGTCGGCAGTCGTTAGAGAAAGCGATTCTTTTTTTGGTTTTTTTTTTTGTGTTTATTATGCGTCTACTTAACTTTACATGCTCTGTGGAACATGACTCGGAGAATCCCCCACGTGGTAGAAAGTAGATTGTATGAGGGGAAGTGGTGAGACAGTAATTCAAGTTAAAGGGAAGTTAGTCGAGTGACTTCTTACCGGGAGTGGGTCGTAAACGCACCTCTCAATCCCCAGAACTGCGGCACGTGGGGTTAAGGGGATGTGAATTGGTCCAAGCACCCGCCAGTTTCACTAAATTCTAATCTAATAATCTATACCCGGCATACACTAAAACGCCCCCCGACCTCAGGCACCCACAACTTATTCCCCTTCACCCAGTCACCCAGTCACCCAGTCACCCACTGATCTCGTCACCATCAGACGACGGGGCCTGAACTCGACCATGGATTATAGTAACCTTGACTACGTACCTTGTAGTGCGTGCCCGTGGACCTCTTCCTACCTCCATTCACCTGGCCTTCCATCGACCACGCCACCAAACTCCAATCCAATTAGCGCATCCTGTAAATTGTTTCCACTCTCGTTAGCTTCGGTTTCCTCCATTTCCCCTCGTCTTTGCTGTTTTGCCATCGCTTCCCTCGAGGTGCCTCTCGTCAGATTCTTTCTTCATCTACCTCAGTCCCCTGCTTTGGGGGCCGCGATCCTGCAAGATCTCTTTGCATTAGGCTCTTACTGCCTCATTATGTCATTTGGCTAATCGGGGCTCATATCTCTATCTTTTTAATATCCGATACAGCTTCTACAGCAACAAATCGATCGCCATGGGCAAGCGGTGGTACAAGACCGACCGCGCGCAAGACTTTGATCATGAACAGGTATAGCTTTCAAATGCAGTTACGAGAAGAAGTCTCGAGGCTGACCTGAGTCTCTACTTGCGAACAGGATCGTCAGGTTCGGATGCGCCAGGTCTATGAGACCATCGACCGACAAGCATTCCAATGGATCGTCGTCTTTGTCGCCGGTGTCGGCTTCTTCCTCGACGGCTACACAGTATGTCTCTTCTTTCGATGCCCCCAAGGTAAATTGTAACTAATGGCATTTGTTCCAGCTCTTTGCAAGCAACATGGCTTTCCCGATGATCTCCTACGTCTACTGGCGCGACCAACTATCGTCTATGCATGTCACCTGCATTAATATTGCTACACTTGCCGGCACACTCTTTGGGCAGGTTCTATTCGGGTATTTGGCAGATCGTTACGGACGGAAAAAGATGTACGGGCTGGAGCTGATCCTGATGATCACATCCACCCTGGGGGTCGTGATGGCCTCCCGGGGCGAGAACGGCAGCATGAGCGTCTACGCATGGTTGCTCTGGTGGCGAATCATTGTTGGAACTGGGGTAGGAGCTGACTATCCACTGAGCGCGGTCATTACGTCTGAGTAGGTGTTCTCACTGCTCTTTCAGCTCTGCCTACTGCGCGCGACCATACTAACAGGCGGTGCAGGTTTGCGCCGACCAAGCACCGTGCACGCATGATGGCTTCGGTTTTCTTCATGCAACCTCTTGGACAGATTGCCGGGAACATCATCGCCATCATCATTATCACTGTCAGTCGCAAGCAGGGCAACGCGGATCTCACTCGCACGGTCGACATCATGTGGCGCTGGGTTATCGGCATCGGAGTCATCCCGGGCGCCATTGCGACCTTGTTTCGTTTCGTGATCCCGGAGTCTCCTCGTTTCGTGCTCGAGATTGACGACGACCCTGTTCAGGCTGAGTTCGATGCCACCACTTTGTTCGACGACTTCCACGCCAGCTCTCCGTCCACACTGACTGGATCTTCTCCATCCGGCGGGGACTTTGCAAGCTGGCACAACTTCTCAATTCCCGGCATCTCGCTCACTACGATCACCGCTGGGGAGAATGACGAAGACGACGATGATCATGAAACTCAGCGCTCTCCCTCCCAGACCGAGATCCTGCAACCTGCCACTCTAAACTCCCACTGGCACCTGACTCGCCGGGATATTCGCCAGTATTTCTGGATCGAAGGAAACTGGCGCACCCTTGCCGCCACCAGTCTTGCCTGGTTCTTCCTGGACTTCAGCTTCTACGGGATCAGTCTCTCCAGCCCGCAGTTCCTGGCCAAAACGTGGGGCTCCCTTCACCTCGATTCCTCCGCCCCTTACTGGAAAACCGACGACCGCCCCGGTGCGAGTGTTTACAACATGCTCCTCGCCAGCTCCACCCACGCACTCGTTATCCTCAACAGCGGCAGTTTCCTCGGTGGAATCCTTCTCATCATGCTGATTCACAAACTCGACCGCACTGCCTTACAGAAATACATGTTCCTCGCGCTGGCCGCGCTTTTCATCGCCCTCGGCACCATGTACATCACCGTGCACCAAGAAGGAGCCTCCGCCATAACCCTCTACATCATCGGCCAAACCTTCTTCAACTTCGGTAGGATTCTGTCTTCACTCCATCTTCCCAGCGACCCCGCCCCCCCATTTCTATAACAACATAAATCCACCGCCCATCACAAAAGCAAAACCCGGACTAATACTCAAACCCACAGGCCCCAACGCAACCACGTACATCATCCCCGCCGAGATCTTCCCGACGCGCTACCGCGCCACCTGCCACGGCATCAGCGCCGGCGCCGGCAAGCTCGGCTCCATCCTCGTCCAAGTGTTCTCAGCGTACTACAACTTCGGCACCGGCGAGGGCGACGGCCCGACCATCCGCCACGGCTGGATCCTGATCCTGTTCAGCGTGTGCATGATCCTCGGCGCCGCCGTCACCCACTTCTGGATCCCGCCCGTGCAGCGCGGCGCCACCTCCTCCTCCGATTCATCGGCATCTTCGTCACGCGGAAAGCTCTGGGGCGGCCGGACCGAGACCCTGGAGACGTTGGCGCTGGGCCGGTGCGGGTGGAAGAGTCGGTATGCGGCCAAGGCGGCGGGCCTGGGCGGGTCGGCGGATGTGCCCAGGAATCGGATCCGTGTGCGGCAGAGGGTGGTTGTCACGTAGGTTAGGTAGGTGTTTGGGGTGGACTTTCGCTTATTGTGTCATTCTTTTCCTTGTCTCGAGACACTCCTTACTCTCTCTTTTTGTTTCTGTTCTTGTACATACTTATTCATACCCCGTTATTTGGAGATGTAAAGACATACTTGTACTTTTCCTTCTGTTGTACTGTACAGCGCACTTGGATCTGAAGATAGTGTGTAGATCAAGCTACATTCTCACACCATGGATACTTACACCCCACTACTCCCCAATTCAGTATCAAGAATAATGAAGAAATGAAAAATGGTATTTTCAAGAGTATAAGGGGAAAAAAAGTATCCCCAACAAAATTCTCCACCCTTTCCCATTCCTCCGCAGTCAAAACGAAGGAAAGGTGATTAAACACTAAGTAATACAACTATAGTACTGTCAAGAACAAGATAATCTACCACATCAAGAGTTTCCAGTTCCACACCGTTGGGGCAAGCTTAGTTGTTCTCGACGTGGAAGTTGTTGTTGACCTGTCCGGCGGCGTGGTCCTGCGTCGACCCGGAGGCCCCCTTGCTGGTGTTGTCGTAGGAGGAGTAATCGTAGTCGTCGACGTGGTGCTCGTGCTCGTTGACGCCGGAGTTGTGGTTCTCGTAGACGTTGAAGTTGCTGCTGTGGTCCTTCTCCTGCGCAGCGTCGTGGTGGAGGTCGAGCTCGCTGGCGGGGCGGGGCGGGAGCGGCAGGGGCGGGAGCCGGAGCCGGAGCCGGTGCCGGTGCCGGTGCCGGAGCAGGAGCAGGAGCAGGGGCAGGGGCAGGGGCAGGGGCAGGAGCAGGAGCAGGAGCAGGAGCAGGAGCAGGAGCAGGAGCAGGAGCCGGAGCCGGGGCTGGGGCGGGAGCATGCTTCTGGGCGGGAGGGTAGGCGATCATGTTGTTGTCGCCGGACACGCCGCCGATGTTGACTGGCGCGCCACGGCGGCTTGCGCCATGACCAACCTCGGGGACCTTGGCCGCCGGGACATTGGCGGCAGGGACCTTGGCAGCAGGAGGGTTGACGATTTGTGCCCCGTCGACGCTGCTGTGGGTGTCGGGAAGGCTGCTGTGGGTGTCGGGAAGGCTGCTGTGGGTGTCCGGAAGGCTGCTTTGGGTTTCGGGGGTCTTGACGCCATCGGTAAGGGCGCCAGGGGTCGCGGGGATGCCTTCACAACCGTCAGTTTCTCAGTCCTAGAAGGTATTGGGGGAGATGGTGGTATGGCGGTTTACATACTGCCCAGAGGAGCGGCGGCAATCATGCCAGCAGCGGCGAGGAGAGACAAAAGAGCGGCGGTCTTCATCTTGAAGAGTTGGAGATTGAGGTGAGCGATTGCGGTGGGTAGAAAGGAGTGGAAGAAGAAGCTGGCTTGATGCTGATGAAAAAGAGCTGGTTGCTGTGGATTTGAAGGCGACTTTATACGTTTCTTTCCGTAAGGAAGCTCGGGTTTGGCTCAACTGTGACATGTATGATGGATCTATTCTTGGTGAATTAGCGAAGGCTATCGTGTGCTCATGACCAGGAGAAGTGACCATGATCTGCCATTGCAGTGGAGGATAGGGGGATGTGCAATGGTCCTCCAGATGCAGAGTCCATGCTACTGCAGGGACGAGCTCCTCGATGCTCGCATTCCGCTGGCATATTTGACAGGTCCCATGTTCGAGGCCGTCGATCCCGATCTGACATATCCAAACAAGTCATTGATCCAGCTATGATCGTCGACTTAGCCTTTTGCGAGTGACCTAGATGGTATACCCCTGACCGAATCTGGAATAACTGTTGCTGGTATTCCATGCGAGTGTTCAGCCAGGGTCTGGATCCCGCAAGGGATGCCGCCACTGCACCCATCCGAGGACACGGTGCATGAACTCCTGCCGATATCTACCCTTTTCGGGAGCACCCGCGAGAGCTGTCATACTCCACACTCAATAGCCGCACTGTCTCTATGCAGGTGCCTGGATACTCGGTTGTTCCGCCGGTGGCGTGGCGGCGTTGATTGGAGGTAGGTATTTTGATTTCAGATGGCTTATGTCCGGATTGCACTCAACGAAACCGGTGGTGTAGGAGTTTCCAAGAGAGACTAGACATCCGACTCGAAGGTCATGATATGACAAGCTTTGGTGGATGGAAGAGGGGCTTCGAAAAAAAGATCGTCGGCTATGAGAGGTGTTTGGTTCGTGTTCTGATATTCGAGGTCTTCGGCCAGGTGTTTAATTCTCCTGTAAGCAGCACAGTGCATGCTGATCAAATGTGAGCCAGGCAATGGAGGCCCGCAGGGTCGACCGAGCCCCGAGTAAAACTGTGACCATGGTTGAGGAAGAAAAGGGAGCGTCTTTTCGAGTTGATGGATGAATCATGGATAGATGAATCACGGATGGGGCCTCAGGCAGCAGGGCAGTAGTAGTTCCAGACAACGGGATGAAGTTTCCTCTTACTGAGATGTGCTTTGAACCATTGCATGCAACGACCAGGTATCCCTGTCACGCATGAAACAAGTCATCTTTTGTCTGCACTGATGTACATCTTCTGAATCACAACCTTCAAGTGTAAATACATAGAGGTACAGTGGTTGCCACATCGATTTTTGAAGTCCTCCTTCTGATTATCCACTCCCCCCCCACACTTCTCACTTTTCAACTAGATTCCCCGATAATTCAGGCACTTCCCGCCGGGTCTCAAGCCATGACCGACTGGAACCGTCCGAGACATTTCAGGTACTGTTCAGCGTGCCAAATCCGTCATGTCGAACACTGACTGTCTCCCTGATACGGATCCTCCTGGGAGGCCATATTTCTCTAAGAGTACGTGGACTCCCGGTTCGAGCGGCTTCGATGCCGGCTAGATCAGCGTAGGCGACACTATGCCGGAACCCACCATCGTCGTAATCCGGGATGGCGGGCTTCCTGGCAGCCTCTTCATCGTCGCTCAGGGGAGGGAAATCCTCATGTGTGTTGGACGGGGTCAGAGGGACAGAATCCTGGAGCCGGGCACTTCCTCCGATGGTGTAGAGGGCGATTTTATTATTGCCGGAGGGATACGTCTGACTTGAACCTCTCCTGGACCTGACGAATCGAGTCCAGAGAAGCTGGATCAGTGGTGGGAAGGACGGCATGCACGCAGCGAGGAAGTACACCCCGGGCTCGATTTCGGTCCACATGTGCAGAGAGGACGCCTTCCAAGTATCGTCCCGACGCTCTGTGTCGCTGTAGAAAATTGCAAACCGGCAGCAAGAGGTAATAAGGCCTCTAAGAAAGCGAAGTTCAAAAGGCAGATTAGCCCCCGAGTCAACGGTAAGCACCGACTGTACGATGTTGCAAAGGCATAACAGGGGAATATGTACTTACATTCCGCCAGTCGCAAATATGATCCCGAGCCCGATCTTCTGATTGCACGAAGTGTGCAGCCGATAGACCATGGGGAGAGGCAGGACCAGCATGACAACATCCGTGACGATATTGGGGAAGGACATCCAACGATAGAATGCCTTGGTATCGAAACACCGACCTATTCCCGGCTTGAATGGGTTCAACTGATACCCCACAGGAATGCATGCAAAAGTGTGAGCCGAAGAAATGGCAACATAGGTCGACGCGATGATGGCCATGAGGACATAGGTAACAATCCGTTCGTTCCGAGATTTGAAGAAGCGAAGGTAGAAAGCGAGGATTGCCAGCTTGGGAAGAGCTATCGCCAAGCCCCAGACCCAGATCCCAGCGAAAATGCCTCTCTGAAACTGAACGAGTTTCCATGGCGCTTCCATCAAGATCTTGTCGATGTGATAACCAACTCCGGCGATGGGGATCATCACTGCGCAATGCGTTAGATATCACGGAATTTCGACTCAACCAGCCTCTTATTTCCAAGAGAGAAGACGCCAACAGATGTGAGATCATCGATTTTACAGTGATCAGCCGACATAGAAAATGGCATACTTGCCTATTCCTGTGATGCAAACACACAGATTGGCCAGAAGGGCTGGAACCATGAGCCAGTCGTCCACACCCCAGTTTTTTCTCTGTCTTTTATGGGCCCAGAAGCGGACGGCCGCGAACGCAAGCTCCAAGACGATGAACGAAACCGCAGTGGCGATCAGTTGACCACCGCAGTACTCATTCAAGTATCCCGGAGGATGCTGCTCGATGAGAGTTGACATGGTGCGATGGTAGAGAGTAGCTTGTGCAATCAGGTGAGCAAACGATCTGCAATCTGCACTTTGGTTGCGAAATCGCGTTGTCCCATCGATGGAGAAGACAGGAAGTAAAGGTGAGGATGTGTTCTTTCCAGGTAGGGAGAAGTCATCGACAGAGTAAAGACCCACTTGGGCGAGACTTCACTTCACCTGAGACTTTGTGGTTGAGGGAAGCAGAATATTTGTGTGTTACTTTCACCAGCCTTAGTATGCTTTTATTAAAGTAGCCTCACAAATGTGTACGTCACCGGCCCTGAGTTGATATAACGGCCATCGATATTCAAGAGTAGTTCAACAGCCAATCAAAGATAAGCCTCCAATCACGTAGTCTACTGTGTTTCTGCTCACTACGCTCAGAGAACTAACAACCACACCCAGCATTGAAAGCCTTGAAGGTAAGGTCCAGCATATTCCAGTTGAAGACAAACCCGGCAAGACCTCAATTCAGCACCCACTCACCCACCTGAAATCACTCTAAACATATATGTGTTCTCATATATACAGCACATCCCTATCTACATCCAGCAGCCCTTCGTATGTACTACAAGCCATCCCATCTCACCCCCCTCCACCCCCCATATATACAGCACAGCACACTAAACCCAACCCACAGCCCACCATCTACTCACCCCACCAACTTCCTCATAAAATCCGCCTCGAGAACCACCTCCTCTCCCTCCGGCGTCCAGTCCGTATACCGCGGCTCCGTCTTCCACCGCACATACCCCATCCTCTCATACCACTCCGCGACCGGCAGCCCGCCCTCGCCGCGGATGCGCTCGATCCAGCGCCGCCGCCCCGGGTCCGCGTAGTACGCTTTGCTGACCGCGTTGAGGGTCACGTACCTGCAGCGCGGGTCGCGGCGCGCCCGCTCCTCGACCAGCGCCATCGCGCGCCGGCCCAGCCCGCCCTTCCGGTGCGCCGGGAGGATGAAGAACGACTGGATGGTGAGGTTGGTGCCGTCAGCTGTGGCCAGGTCCGGGTCTGGCGGGTGGGCGTAGGCGTCGAGGGAGATGTGGCCTGCGTGAATTGGTTCCACTGCAGTATCCTGGCTGCTGCTGCTGCTGCTGTTGTTATTGTCGCTACTGCTGCTGGAGGTGGAGGTAGACGCGGAGGTGCAGGTGGAAGGTGGGACGATGTCGATCCAGAAGAAGGATTTGAGGCCCGCGTCTTGTTTGGCGCGCCAGGCGAGGAGGGCTTCGTCGGTTTGATCCCAGCCGCAGAGTGTGCGCTGGTGTTGGAGGGCGGCGTAGTCGGCGGGTTCGTGGAGGTTGATTGGGGTAAGGGTTATGGTGGAGTTTGGCATGGTTGGTGGTGAGGACGCTTGGTTCATGTTGGGGTGATGGGGTGATAGGAAAAGGGACCAGGTATGTATTGTAAAGATTGCTTGGTATAGCTTGGAGCAATGTTGTTATTCAGATTATCCTTTTTTATTTCTATTTTTACAGAAGAGTGGAAGTGGTTGCAAGAAGATATAAAATGAGTCAGCCTGCATTATGTCTGCAAATTTATCTAAATGGATGAGTCACTTTGCTGGGTGGTTCAGGTTCTACGGAGCCTCCACGTATACAACGCTACGTATCTCGAACAGCGAGAACAAAGTATTTTTAGTTGACTATGTGTTTAAAAGAATCAAACTTATTGACCCAAGTGTCTTCCAATTACAGACAGGTCCAGTAACTGCATCTGAACCTCAAATGTCAAAGACAGACAAGGCACCAAGGCAGCGAAGCTTATCGGACACCTGATAAGCCAACACCTTATCGTGAAGCTTATCAGACTCGTCCACCGGCTAAAAAAGCTACCACAAATCTGTCCGAGCGATAAAACTCGTAACTCCCAACTCCATTAACTCCGACATTAATATACAGCATTGAACCACTTCCCACTCCCAGTATAGATAGATATACTTCGACATCGAAAAATCAAGCAAACACCCCCAATCCCACCAAGCCACCGAGCAGCGGCAGCACCGACCGGGCGGCATTCAGCCAGGTCCACCTCCACAGCAGGCCTTCCACCTCGGCGTCCGCTTCGGGGGTCCACTCCGCCTCGGTCTTGACCTTGGCCCACTGCGACAGCCGATCGTTGGTCTTCTTCATCACCAGGATGGTGAACGGCACGATCCCCAGCGTCAACCCCGCCGCGAGGCCGTAGACCTTGGAGCTGTGGCGCGCGGTGATCAGGCTCAGCGGGGTGCTCTCGCGCACGCTCCAAGCCAGGTACAGGAAGGTGGAGGCGGTGCTGAGGGCGATGAGCGGGGCGCGCTGCGCGCCGTACGTGTAGATGGTGCGCCACTGCTTCACGACGGTCGAGAGGGGGATCTTCTCCGTGTGGTGGGCTTCGATCAGCGGGGGGACTCCCATGAGGCTCAGGGAGAAAATGTTGCCTGTTTTTTTAGGGAGTCCGGTGTTAGTGGCCTGATTGTGACACTGAGGAAAAAAGAGGAGGAGGGGGGGGGTTAGTGTAACTTACCGGATAGGAAGGCGGCGCCGGTTAGGCCTACGGCCTGGGCGATTGCGAAGCTGGGGGTTGAGGTGCTCATTTTGTCGGTGCGTCCTGTCTCAGAGAGAGATGGTTTTTGGTGATGAGGGGAAAGTTAAGGGGAAAGAGGGATGAGGTAGCAGAAGATGTCGGTGCCTTTATATAGCGGACAACACCAGTAAATCCATGACGACATGCTCAAACCTTATGATCCGACCCGACATGAGCAGAAAATGAAGAAAAGCTTCTCCTGCAAGGGTGGGACCATTGTAAGCAGTTGCAGTGTTTGAAATGTGTGGAACTCCTTCAATTGCTCTCTAGGAGTATGATTGAGTGAAATAATGGCTGGTTGTTGTGTCGGAAGGATTTAGCTTGCGTAGGCGTGGCTGGCTCGGGCTTTGCGGAGTTTGGACCGGGTTTTGCATTGTCCGACAGAATAATCTCGATTTCTGGAGGTTTCCCGCATGCAAACAACACCCATTTGCTAGATGGATCGGACTGTGGTTGACAGAACCTTTATTCCCTTGAGGAAGAAAAGACACAGGTAGAACTGGTGGGCGGTGCGTGGAGGCTGGAGCTCTTATGTTTCGCGCTCTCTTCAACACAATTAAGCTCTTCCCAGTCCCCACCTGCCTCCAACGACAGCCACCAAGACAGAAGATCTACACATACTAGGTACCTTAGCAGCAATCCATTTTTGTTTATTCTCATATAAGATTCCGTTATGGTCATCTAATGGCTTTGAAAGCGAGCGCTTGCAAGAACACATCCACGTGTCTTTCGGACCTCTTCTCGATAGCTACTAGAACCGTCAAAGGCTTTTTGGAAAATAATCAAATATGCAGACAAATGCCTGTCACTTCCGTTCCGGTAGTTCGAGATTCATGTCGTGTCTCTTTTCTTGACCTATCTCAGCACGAGCGCCAGGAACGGATAAACAACCCCGGCTGATATTCCGACCAGGGAATGCGGGGATGGGATGCAAGGATACGAAGATGTTTGATAGGAGTGACAACCGTGATTCAATCTCCTCTTCCCTTCCGACCTCAATGATTGGCACGATGGTACAGTTCATGACACAATCTACCTCATCAAAAATCCTTACTTACCCTTCTTCGAGCATCCTCTACCACGCCTCGCCAGCCGATTTCCCCTCCCAGGGGTCGCGACGCTGCTTCGCCCGCTCAGACTCCGAAACATGGCTACCGCGTCACCTACAGTCCAGGTCCAAGGTCCCCACGAAGAGTCCAAGCCCAATCACCGTCAGAAGCTTTCTTTGCAGCTCCCTCTAATCCCACGAGACATCGACACTCTGATCATCCAAAACCACACTCCCTCTGACACAGAATGGGCCCTCCTGGGCCTTCACTTTCCCCTCATCCGCAACCTTGAGATCCATACAGGATATAACGAAGACCTGAATGACGAACGAATCCCCCCCCACTGGCCGCTCTCGCGACTGCTGATCAGCTCCGCTTCCGGAACTATCACTCAAACCCCATTCATCCGCCAGGGACGAGTCTCTCATCTGATCCTCAGCTACACTAGCGGCCTCCGTTTCGAGGGTCCAGACAATCAGGAGCTGCAAGATAGACACAAGGAAGCTATTGCCCGTGGGGAGTCCGAGTCGGAATATATCACGGTACACAAGGGCACTCCTGAGGAGAGGAAGATTGAGATTGTCTTCCTTCCTCTGTTAGCCATGGCCTGGTTGGACGCGAAATACGGAGGGCCAAACTTCAACGAGCTCGACCCAGACAACGCACCACCGACACAGCATGGGGTCAACCTTCAGACGCTGGAGATCGTCGAGAACGATGCTATGTGCACCTTTGCCCGCATGACCTTGGCCCTGCCGCATGTTGTCCGGAACACCTCCGCGCTGCACCTCAGCTCCACGAACGGTTGCTGCGAGTTTCAGCTAACCAACGAGAAGATGTTTGTGCAGTTTTTATCACAGATGGAAAACCTGAAGACATTGCAACTCTCGGTCGGGGAGGTGTTCCGTGATGAGTCACACCTACTAGGCTTATACAGGCTGTTCCCACGGACTCTGACGACGTTGCGCTTGCGCGGACCGGCGATGCTGACGCAGAATGATCGCTGGAAGGAGTGGGAGGAGGCATTTGCATCGACAACCTTTCTACCAGATTTGAAGAGGTTGTCGATTCAAATGGATCTTTGTTACAAGGACAGAGAAAGTGGATCTGCCACTTGGCCTCTAAAAGAGCGGACTGAGCTTCCAGAAGAAATACGCCTCGCCGCAAACGCCGCGTGTGAGCGACTCGGCGCCCTTGCTCGCAGCCGAGGGGTCAATGTAGAGGAGATGGAAGATTGGGGGAGACTCCGGGAGTGAGTTCGACTCCCGCGGGAGGAAGCAGGATTCAGGGGGCGGTGTTCAACCGCGGGCTCGGCTGTGCTTACATTGCTTATGCTGTCGCTGCTTACTAGATGTTGTTGAACCGGTTGTTGGCAGATGTGTAAGATTAGATGAAGGAAAGAATGATACCCCACTCTTGATTTGTCGCAATTCCGTTGTTCAGGGTCAAAGAACCTAGGGATCAGTAATTGATCGTACTCGTATCTTCTGGAGAGAACCGTTCCTGACAACCAAGAATCCACGGAACGGAGCAGGCAACGGGCTCGGTCGTATCCGTATCCCGATACCAAAAAGGTCAGTTCGGCAGCGGGGCTTACGATCTCCGATTCAGCCCAGCGGAGCTAAAGTGTTTTAGTGTTTGGTTGAGTCTTTCTCGGCCGCTGGAACTCCCCGTTTGACCTCCGTTACGTACGTAAGAGAGACTAAGAGCAGCCCCCAAAAAAAGAATTGTGTTCTTGGCTGGCCCAGTTGTACCACTTGCACCAGTCGCACCAGTCGAATCAGCTGCACTAGGCGTTAGGAGAAATATGGAAGAAGACAAAAGAAAAAAAAAAAAAAGGAAGCATTGCAGGAATAGTCGCAGGATTTGCGACTACAGTCGGTCAAACAGCCCCGACCGCGCAATGACCGTGCGGAGCAGGGCTGAAGGTACGAATACGATGACAGGAACAGCGACGTGGATGATCGTGGACTTTAAAGTCTTTAAAGTCTCCCAGCTGCTCCTGAAGATTTGGTTTGATTGTCAACATTCACAAGTGACACTGACAGTGACACCGGCATTTAACCGCCCTAAACAACCATGAGCGCGACTGATAGCGATACGGAGAGTACCGTCTCCAGCCAATCCAGGTACGGAGTACATACTGCATATTGCAACCACTTACCTATCACCACATCTCTAACGCAGCTCCAACCAGCAGGCCTACCACAGCGAAAACCGCCAAATCGCAATCCCAACAGGTCTTCCCCTTCGCGCACCCACCGCCCAAATCGACCTCGTGCTTCCGCTTCACCTCGCGCCTCCTGCTCCAGATCCAACAGCTCCTCTCCGCCTCGCGCGCGCTTCCCATCCTCGAGATCTACCGCCCCTCCAGCCTCGGCAAGTCGATCCCCGGCTGTCCCAGCAAAGTACACAGCCAGGACCTTTACATCGTCCAAAGCGACGCCTACCAGAATCTGCCTGCATCATGCAGCCAAAGCCCCAGCACCGACAGCCCGGTAGTAGGAGTGATATACACCAACTACTGCAGCAGCAGCAAAACCACTAGCGCCGCGACTAGCAGCAGCAGCTCCACCGACAACAAACCCGCAACCTCCCCCTCATCATCATCATCAACATCACCAACAACAAAATCACCCCCCAACAACAGCAACAATAACCACGCAATCTACCTCCCCCAACTCCAACTCACCCTCCTCGCCTCCCGCACCTCCCGCGGAGGCTACATCTTCCAATTCCTCCCCTCATCCTCATCCTCCTCACCAACAACACCCCAAAAACTCACCCTCGAACTCGCCAAGAGAAAACCCAAACACAAAAACCCCCCGCCAAGATCATCGGCAACAACCCGGACCCATCGGTCTTCGGCGTCTACCACCCCCGACGACGACGACGAAGAAGACAACCTCGAGCCAAAAAACCACGACCCGGCAAGTTTCCTCCTCGGCATTCGGGGTACTACTAGTACCCCCAGTACTAGCCCCGTCGATCCAAACTCAGGTGATTCCACCCGGCGCAGCCCCCGGCCCTGGCTCGCCGGGCTCTCGCACAAGGGGATCAAGCTCCCGCGCGGGGAGCAGGAGGACCAGCTGCGGCGGCGGGTGCTGGCCGCCGTCGGGGTGGGCGAGGAGCGCGTGGATGTGCTCTACACGATTACCTTGCTGGTGGGGATCTATGCGGCGAGGATGGAGGGGTGGGTTTGATTTTTTTTGGTGTCCATTTTCTGTGTTGTCGGTAACTTAAGGGTTTACTCGATCAGCTGCTTCCTAGATTATTTGGTATGGTCCGGGGGTTTAGTTAGTAAAGTTTAGCTTGGAGTTTTTAGGTGTTCGTGTTGGTGTTTGGTGATCGTCGGTGTTCGTATTTTTGGGGGAAGTCAAAAGGGCCAGGTGTCAGGGTCCGGGTCAGGGACTCTTGCTATGTACGTCGATGATATCCAATTCGAGTCAAACTTTGGGGGACTAGTGTCATAGAAACTTTCTTTGTCTCTGTCTTTCTCCGAGAAAGGGGAATGAGGAGAGAACGAACCCGGAGAATACGTAGAAGTTCTGGCCCGCCCGCCGCCGCGTGATGATGGTGTTAAACACAATTTTCCGGCGTACGGCGCCCAGTCCCGAGGCCCGTTTGCATTCCGCTTAGTCTGCTAGTCTCTGCAAATAATGCACAAGGGGTCCGTCCGTCCGCCTTGCGGGGCTTAATCTAAGGGGGGTTGACCCGGTTGAGGGATTTACAGTGCACATTCATACAGTGCTCATATCTTATGCATTGAAATGCATCGGTATGCATTGGATAGTACAGTACACACAATTTTCTCTCTTGGGATATGTCTTGCATGATGGATCCAATCGTGCTTCTCCAACCACAACCCATCATGTAATATACGCTTTTTTTGCCCCTTCTTCTCCTGTTGAGTTTCTTCCGAGTACCTGCCGAGCCCCTCCCCACATAGCATCTACTTCGCAACCCCCACCTCCAAAGCCAGAATCTGCAACGCCAACGTCCGCGAGAAATACCGGCACAGCGCCAGATTCCCGCCCATGAACCACAGGCCCGGGTGGCCACTCCGCCGCCAGATGGTGCGCATCTCGCCCTCGGCGTCTATGCCCCAGATGTCGTCGACGCGGTCGGCGACCGCGTCCCCGAAGACTTGGCGGGCCTGGGAGCGCATGTTCTGGTAGCCGGTGGCGAGGACGATCTCGTCGGCGGGGAGCTCGGAGCCGTCGGCGAAGCGCAGGCCGTGCGGCAGGACCTCGGCGATCTCCTGGCCGTGCTTGACCTTGATCTTGCCGTCGGCGATGAGCTGGCTGGCGCCGACGTCGATGTAGTAGCCGCCGCCGCGCTGGAAGTACTTCATGATCAGGCCGGCGCCCGCGGGGCCGTCATCCACCTGGAACCCGGCGCGCGCGAGGCCGTCGAGGACTGCGCGGTCGTGCGCGGTCTGCGCGCGCGTGATCTTGATCTGCTGGGCTTTGAAGACCTCCCAGGGGAGACTCCACAGGTAGAGCTCGGCGTCCTCGGTGGGCGGGCCGTCCTCGTCGAAGAGGCCCTTCAGGCCGATGTCCGTGATGGCCGCGGAAGAGATCACGCAGGTCGAGCTGCGTTGCACGATGGTCACGTCGTAGCCCTTCTCGTAGTAGTCCTGCGCGATGTCGTGGCCGGAGTTGCAGGCGCCCACGACCACGGCTTTTTTCGTTCCGGCGGTCAGGTCGCTGGCGCCGGGGAAGTCGCTGCTGTGGCAGAGACGGTCGCCCTGGAAGGTCTCCATGCCCTTGAAGGCGGGCATCTCCTTCTTGCCGGAGTGGCCGGTCGCTTGGATCACATGGCGGGGCTGCAGCGTGCGGGTTTCGGTGGTGCTTCCGTCCTCGCTGCGGCGCTGCAGGTCGATCGTCCAGCGGCCGTCGGCCTCGCTCCACGAGGTGGATTGCACGCTGGTCCGCGTCCACACGTTGAGCTCCAAGAGCTTGACATAGCATTCCAGAAACTCCGCGAATTTGTCTTTGGGCGTGAAGACCGGCCAGCCGGGCGGGAAAGGCACGTAAGGGAGATGGTCCATCCACACGGGGTCATGGAGCACCAGCTGGTGGTATCGCTTGCGCCAGTTGTCGCCCACGCGGTCCGCCTCGTCGACTATCAGGCTGTCGACACCCAGCATTTTTAGGCGGGCGGCCACGGTGAGGCCGGCTTGTCCGGCGCCTGATGATGATGATTTTCATCAGTGGCGCATTCACGATGTCACAGTTGGTAGAATAATGCTTACCGATGATTAAGACCGCCGGAGGTTCGCCTTCCAGGTTGCGCTCGGCGTTCCGCCTGTCCTGCCAATTCCGTCGATCTTTGGTCGCGCCATGCTGTGCTCCCAAGGGCCGGCGATGACCGACTCTCTCCTCGTGGCCGACCAGATTTCGGAGAGATGTGAAAAAGGTGAAGATCTTCCATTCGCTGTTGACTTCGGCAACACGCACGACACCCGTCCCGCTGATGACGGGGCTGGAGACCTTGATGAAGAACTCCACGCCTTTCACATCGCCGAACGCGTCGATCGCGCCCACGTGCGGTGTGCGCAGAGCGGTCGATCGATCGACCTCGATCTTGGTCGGTAGCTGTGCGGATTTGAGGAGCGCCTGGATTCGTTCCGGACCTTTGGCCGTGCGGTAGTCCCACGTCAGACAGAGATGGTCCCGCCAGTAGCCGTCTTCCAGGAACAGACTGCTGATGGCCTCGATGTCCCCTTTGCTGAGGGCTGTGTTGATCGTGTCCACCAGCTGGGAGGCGATAGCTTCGGGGTCGACATCGGTGGATGTAAGAGTCGGAGGGAACCGCCCGACGGGGATGTCGACCGAGCCAGGCAGGTACTGGGCTGAAGCGGTGGTCATGGTGAGTTAGTGTGTCTGTCCCTGTTATGCTCTGGGAGGGGAGAGCTGGTTCAAGTTGTTGTGTAGCTGGGTACAGAAAAGCGGGGGAAGTCACGGAGGAGCTTTTCCGGTGTCGGGGAGAAATGAGGGGGGAGAAAAGCCATTTAAATCATAGACATTAGAAGCTGAACCCCGCTCCAGACTTCGCCGAGCAGCTAGTCTGCTGAAAAGGTGCAAGCCACGTATCCATTTTCCTGACCTTTTGTCACACCAAGCTGCACTTTTGGCTCGTCTTAGAGGTTGAGGGGGGCGGAGAAACCCCCCCACGGTCCCACCTGCTTGCAGATCTCCGACATGGGGAACAATGCCAGTTGTCACCTGAGGAACTGGTAACCGCCGACTTTGCCTACGTCGAATGCAGGTGCAGTTATAGTGAGAGAGACTCGGTCCAGCAATCACACCGGTAAAACACAAGATAGATTAATCGCGGATTAGCGGCGGGGCATGAATCTCGATCACGCTAGTCCGCTCGATAGCGCCAATTGGTGAATACAAGTAGACCTTAATCTTCATATTTCCGTCGTTGCCTTCGTCATATTTGTACTCCAATGTATGCTAACTGATAGGTCTGTAAGTAACACTGCCTTGAGAGTCGATCAGCAGGCCTTATTTTCGAAGAATATGTGTTCTACAAGGTTTGTTGCCTGACTTAAGTTTACTGTCTGTACAGAAGATTCCTAAGCATTCCAATTCAAGCTAGGAATACTGTTTCTGCGATTTACTTTGAATAGAACCCTTCATTTACATTTTCGTCATCTGGTCTATTCGATTCACAATGTTCGAAAGTGAACTTAAGCATCTATAAATACAGGGTGTGAAGAATAGAGCTTCTAGTTCACTCAGCTGTACTGAGGCCTATAAAATGCCTGCAATCTATTCCTGTGTCAAGCCTTCATCCCGATCCAAGCCAGAGACAGGCAGCCTTTGTCGTATGTCAGCGCTGGCAAGCAATTATAATCGTACCTTTAATCTGCGATATATGTCTATCTATACATAAGATTATCACCTATCTCTCTATTTACCTTCTATTCCTTGCCACTGCCGCTATGATTCTGTCCATCTCCCGCTGATATTCTTCGCTTGCAAGCCACTCCTGTTTCCTCTGCCAAGCGTCGTGGTACTCCTCTCGCGTTATTGTCGGGGTTGAATACTCTAGATCCAATCCCAGTGGACGTATGTCCTCTTGCACCTGCCTGATTCGATCCCAAGGATAAACCTCCCATTTGTCATGGTACGGGTATGTTTCTGGCTCGAAAATGACGCGGATCGTCCGCAGCGCCGTGCTTCGGTCCGGGGCGGCGGCGGTCTCGGCGAACGTCCGCAGCCAGCGCTCCTCCAGCGCTCCGAAATCAGTTAGCTGTGCACCATGCTGCTGGTCATAGCTGGTCAAGTCAAAGACAAACGTCTTCACGGTCGGGCTAAGCAGCCGACCGACCGCAGCAGAAGGAGATTCGTACGCGCCATACCAACCTTGCCGTACCTGATAGGGTGGGCAGATCACCGTGTGCAGATTGGGCCACGCCGTCGCTCGGAATTCAGTCCCCAGCGGCGGGGTCTTAAAGCTCCCAAAGGCTATGCGTCGGAGAATGTGGGGACGAGTCCTCAGCCAGGCGTAGACGAGGTCGAAGTCCACAGCTTCCTCTGCGGACTCCTCTTCGGTGTAGCCCGGTCCAAATGCGATGCTGAAATAAACCGCACCACCGGTGATCGTGGGCCGCTGCACAGCTCCATCGCTACCCTGTGAGGTCACGCAGCACTCACAAACTCTTTGTCTGACCGCTGAGAGCGCTCTCGCGCCCGTGCCCGGCAATGCACGCAAGTCCTCGTAGCCTTGCATTTGGCAGTCAAAGCGGCACTGGAGGCCATAGCCGGTCGAATCTCGGTCTCTGGCCATCACAATTCTTCGCAAGGTAGGTAGATGCCGGAGGGCATGCTGTAAGAGCTCCCATCGGCTGAGATCAACCACCTGACCCGGAACGACTTCGACAAAGGTTTCCTGAGCTTCAGGTGGCAAGAACGCTATGCCCCATATCTTCAGTGTGTGGACTGCGCGACACCGGGTTAGCACGTCTACGACCGCCGCGTAGTCTTCGACTGCAATGGACCCGGCGCCGTGACCGGTGGGGAACCGCGGCCGCAGATCGAAGAATAGAGATCGGACTAGTAGGGATAAGCCTGGATTGGACTGCAAGGACCGGTGCAGCCGTTCTGTCCGCGGGTGGCAGGGGTATCGAAACTTGAGATCGTGGTATATGATGGGAAGGGTGAGACGGTAGAGCTGCCGACAGGTGAAGAGAGGTGCAATGAAATGGGCGGGACTCTCTTCCTCGACTATGTAGAGGATCTGGCTGAGAATCTCAGCAGGCAAATCGAGGATAGATGCTCTTGACATATGGTTCTTTTGCCCTGATGGATTTCTGATTCTTGTCTTGACTTGCACATCGTGGGATTGGGTGGAGAAATATGTCTACTCTGTATAAGGACAGCGATCGATTTTCAAGCCTCCCCCCACCATTTAGGCCGCAGTACTGGGAAGATGAAAAGGCAGAGCTGCCCAAACAATCAGTCACCTCTGCTTGCCATGTCAGCCCTTCTGGTAGTGGAACCAGCAGAAGACATCTACTGCAGTGAGCACTGGTAACTCCTTACGCACTTAGACTGCTACTCTCGTTCTCTTCTCCCGGGTGTGAGATCCAAGTGCCTCCAAGCCGACCATCCTCTGGACTCTTGACAGATAACATATAAGCCACTATTTTATTTTATTTATCTATTTAACTATTTTATTTACTACTACTCTACTAGTTAGACTATATCTTGTTACTAAGAGTAGATATGAAATATAGATCGTATCTGTAAGTATATATTTCACATTCATTTCTTAATCAAAATAAGTAGCTAAATCTAAAAGATCTTTAGAATCCCACAAAGACGAGCTTACAATCGGCCAGAAGCAATGAGACACCATGTTGCGACTTGCATCATGGAACTACCGAACTTGCAAGCGAGGGAATCTAAAACCACTCTGCTCCGCATAAATTGTGATATCCTGACTCAGCGGGAGTTTTCACACCCCCGAGAAGTTCCGGGCCCACATTTTACCCCAGTATTCCTGCTGGGTGGACCAAACCTGCTGTAGTGATTGGGCGAGGCATCGATCAAGCTTCCCCTCACTTACTAGGTACCTAGTAGGCATAATAAAGTTATACTATCAGGACATCGGAACACGATCGGCCCCAAGTCCTTCATGGCTTGCTTATATAGCCCACCGCCGGCCCCAATCCGGACGACAATATCTTGCCTAAGCAACAACACTTCCCAAATCTCTCACCTCCTGATCTCATTTCAACTTGAAAGGCCATGGCAAACTCCGAAGTCAGGACGGCCTTCCCCGATCGCCCCCAGTTCTCCGGGTTCATGAAGCCTTGTCGGATGGAAGGGGAGGTGTCCCGATTGGAGATTCTGGGAGAACTCCCCAAGGAGATCGACGGGGTGTTCTACCGCGTGATGCCCGATCCGCAACTGCCTCCATTTATTGAGAATGACCCGGTAAGTCCGGACTTTCCTGAAATAAAAGCCAGAACTGACTTCCCCGGAACAGTGGTTCAATGGCGATGGCAACGTGTCCGCCTTTCGGTTCAAGGACGGCAAGGTCTCGTACAAGCAGCGCTATGTGCGGACCGAGAAGTTCGTGCGCGAGCGAGAGGCGGGACGAGCTTTGATCGGTAAGCCCTTCAATCTGAGCGTCGCAGCACGGAATCTATCTTGATCTCAACCTAATCCCATCCAAACTGCCAGGCAAATACCGCAACAAATTCACCGACGCAGTGGAATTCCAAGTCCGCAGCACCGCCAACACGAACATCGTCCACTTCAACGGGCAGCTACTCGCCCTGAAGGAGGACTCACCCCCGTACGCCATGGACCCAATCACCCTAGCGACCAAGGGCCTCTACGACTTCGAGGGCCAGCTCCCCAGCGTGACCTTCACCGCACATCCCAAATTGGATCCCCGGACGGACGAGATGGTCTGCTTCGGGTACGAGGCGCGCGGGGACGGCACGCCGGACGTGTGCTACTACAGCATTAGCCCGGATGGACGATTCACCGAGACGGTGTGGCTGGTGGCGCCCGTGGTGGCGATGATCCACGACTTCGCCGTCACCGAGAATTGGGTGGTCTTCCCGCTGATCCCGCAGCTGTGCGACCTGGAGCGGATGCAGCAGGGCGGCGAGCACTGGGAATGGAGCCCGGAGACCCCGCTGTACCTGGGGGTGCTGCCGCGGCGGGGCGCGCAACCCGCCGACGTGAGGTGGTTCCGCTACCGGAATGCCTTCCCGGGCCACGTCGCCAACGCCTTCGAGGACCCCGACGACGGCAGGCTGCACGTCGACCTGGGCCTCAGCGAGAAGAACGTCTTCTTCTGGTGGCCCGACGCCGCCGGGAACGCCCCGGAGCCCAGCACTATCTCCTCGCAGCTCGTGCGCTTCACCATCAACCCTTCCACTGCCACTGGGTCTGATGTAAACCTCGACCTCCCCGCCCCGCGCATCCTTCAGGCCGACAACTCGGAATTCTACCGCATCGACGACCGCTTCGCCATGCAAGCCTACCGCCACTGCTTCTTCGATCTGATGGACCCCGCCCGCGGCACCGACTTCGCGCGCATCGGCCCCAAGCTCGGCGGCGGCGCCCCCTTGTACAACTCGCTGGCGCACTATGATAACCACACCGGCAAGACGGAGGTGTACTTCCCTGGGCCCGTGCATATGGTCCAGGAGCCCGTGTTTATTCCGCGCGAGGGGTCGATCGTCGAGGGGGATGGGTATGTGTTGGCCCTGGTCAGCAACTATGATACCATGGCTAGTGAGCTGCATCTCCTCGATACCGAGGATTTCACGCGCGCCAAGGCCAAGATCTTGCTCCCTGTGCGGCTGCGCCAGGGCTTGCATGGGAGCTGGGTTGATGGCAAGGATGTTCCGTTGCCGGTGGCGTAGGGTTGGGAAATTGGTTGTGGAGGAGGTCTTGTATTGTGTATAGCACTGGAATTATTGTATTGTATAATTATCGCTCAATGGTCTTTCTGATTACGTAGCTTGCAACTTGCAGCGGATTGGTCCTATTCATTCCTAGTAGAACCAGTAGGGGGTGAGTCAATGGACCTTTAATGATAATACCACTCGTTGCATGTAGACTACCAGGTACAGTACACTACACCGCTACCCCCCTCCGACTCCACCCATGCTTCTCCCCCTCCTCCTCCCCCCCCGCATCCTCTCCCCAAACAACCGGCTCGCCAACTGCTTGTACAGAAACACATTCCCCCTCATGATGATTAACATTATGATCCGAGTCCGTGAACCACTGCACCTGCACCTTCTCCGGGGACACCCTATCGCCGACCAACAAGTCCACCAGGGCCGCCGAATTCTGAAAGTGCACGTTGTCGTCCCCCGTGCCGTGCTGAATGAGAACCCCGCCGCGGGCGCTTCGGAACCCGGCCGTCCGCCGCACCGCGCTGGCCGCATAGCCCTCCGCGTTCTCCGCCATCGTCTTCATGTATCGCTTCGTGTACATCGAGTCGTAGAACCGCCGGTCCGCCACCGGTACCGTGATCAGTTCCAGCGAGAAGACGCTGCTGTCGTCCTGTTCAATGACCTTGGCCGTCAGGTAGCCGCCGAAGCTCCCCCCCCCTTTCCCCCAGATCGCGATGCGGATCTGGTCGACATAGGGCAGCGCGGCGGCCTGCTGGGCGGCGTAGATCTGATCCGCCGCTTCCAGAAGCCCCAAGCGCTTAGAGACCTGTGTGCGGGATGCACGCCCCTTGTAGCCTGTGCCGCGGTTGTCGACTCCAGGTGATATCTTCGAGCTCCGGGTCAGGGGCGATGTAGGCGTTGAAACCCAGGGACTGCCATGTTTTGCTGACCTGCTGCGCGCCGGGGCCGCCGTAGGGGGTGAATAGAATGGGGTATCTCTTGGTCGGATCGAAATTCGCTGGCAGTCGTTGCATGACGTTCAGGGTTTCGTTTGTGGTGCTGTTACGGATGGATAGTTCGAAGCATCAACTGGTCTGTAAAAGAATAGTTGCTAAAATAGTGAAGTCGCGGACAGAGATGTTCCCTCAAAACCTGGGAAGTATACTGACTGCCTGATGTGGATGATGGATGAGCGGCAGGTTTTGCACTATATATTTTTTCTTGGTCTATGAGACTTTATTTGCCAACATATGACATCAAGTAGCATCATTGGTCTAGTGGTAGAATTCATCGTTGCCATCGATGAGGCCCGTGTTCGATTCACGGATGATGCACTCCGATTTCTTTTTTTCTTTTTCCTCTTTTTTGCTCGGTCTGCGACCGGCCGATTTACCTGTGTGTTTCAATAATTATCCCAAAGCACTCCAAGCGGCATCATTTGCGTTGCGACTCTTTCCTCTGCCCTTGGCAGTGCAAGACATCCTTCTATAGTTATTCCCTTCCGTCCGTTCCAGGTTCACGTATAGATCCTCGCAGGCAAATCTTCCCCGGACCTTTGTTCCCAGAGATAAGATTCAACACATACCATGGTAGGCTATTGCGTCAAAATATAGTTCAAAGAGAAACCAAAAAACACTAAAAAGCTAACCTGCACAAATATGACACTGCCAGACAAAATCAAATCAAATCTGTCTATGATCTTGAGCTCAAGAGACCTATTTTCTCACATCTGACCTTTCTAACACCAACCCTGTCCTGAGGATTTCCCAACAAAACTACACAGCATGCTAACCAGGCACACTGAAAATACCCTCCTCTAAGAACAGAAGTGAGAATGATAAAAAAGAGCAAGAAATTATGAAAAGCACCATCATACTGTATATACATCTTTGACTGTCATATTACACACTGCCTGCACGCAGAGTCAACAACAACGCCAATTCAAGACAGACGCTAGATAGAGGGGATATTTCATACCTGTCGTCTCAAGGCAAAATCACCATAGATGCTGCGCCAGATATCTCGCGCGCGACAGTCATCACGGATACTCGTTTGGGGGTCCAGATCACACGTCGGCTGATTCGCCTCGATGATACTAGTGTTGGCTCGGAACCACGGCTACATCCAAGGAAAAACCCCCGTGAGTTGCTTTCTATGTGCCCTGGGATTCAGCATACATACCTTGGGAAGAGGCCAGTCGGAGAAATGCAGGAACTTTGTCTGATTGAAGACCTCGACCGGGTCCCAGGAGTCCTGCGAATCGCCGAGACAGGCGGTATGGTCTTTGGCACGAAACTCGCCGGTGAGGAGGTAATAAGGCCGGTGGGGGAGATCCCCCGCGCGGCCCTGGTACAGCTTGTTGACGATCTCCATGTCGAATTCGTTCGGCCCGGCGTCGGCGATCGCTCGTTGGATGCGGCCGAACTCGGACGCAGAGGGCTCGATTAATGCGATTAGAGTGCTCATCGTCCGGCTCGCGGGACTGAGCCAGTAGGCCCGGGGGAGGACCACGGGCGATGGCGGGAGCAGGAACAGTTCATCCAAAGACTATAGGGCTACTGTGAGCGCCTTCTCCCCTACCCTAATTTGCGGGTTCGGATAAAACAACAAGGCTTACCTGGAGAAGAGTCGAGTCGGAGTCCAGGCTCAAGACGCGATCGTACTGGGTTTGATTGAAGGCTAGTAGCTTGGTGTAGCTGTCTGCCCAGGTCTCTGGAATGCGCTTGCTGTCAGCTGTGGGAAAGTCACCGGTCGGATGGGTGGTTTACTGTCGACGCCCTTCCGGTGCTGAAGCTCGACTGGGACCAGCTTGACCCTATACTCATCGCGGGCTTCGCGGAGCAATTTCGCAACCCTGGAGTTGTCGTCGGTGGAGAAGTCCGATGAATACATCAGCAGGCGATCGGCTCGACTGCCTAGGCGATGCAAGGTCTCAAACAACATCACCGAGTTGCAGAGGTACGCTCGGTGGGTAGCATATTGGGTGTAGGCGAATCGGGACCAGTCGATCTGGGGAGCCGAGGTGTAGCCACCAAGAGGGATGAACTGGAACGAGGGTGGGAAATCACTCAGGCAGAGCTGCCACAGAACCGCGAAAGAGAAGCAGCACACCAAGACGGTCCGGACTGCCCTGAACGTTTTTACTTGCATGTCAGAGCTGCTTTCATGGACATCGGGGTGGGATACTCAGGATGAGCGACTTACCTTACACAGAGTCGGGTATGGGATAAATACCCAGTAGAGGAACGAGCAGCTGGAATTGAAAGGGTCCAGGGCTCACAGGGTTGGGCGGCAACTCGACCTATTGAATCGTCGCGAACTCCAGGGTCTCTTTTATCCACACCCGGCTCGGAAAAGCCGCGCCGTTTTAGCGTCCTGTCAGCGCTCATAAGAGTTTCAGATATAGTAGAGTACAGCACCAATCTCTTCTAGAGAGACCATACAATTATAGACCTTCTTGCAGAGCGCGTACATGCAGTCGATGAATGGCCGCATACTCATCTCATTCTAGAGCCTTGTCAATACGATCCAATGTTTGATGTGTGGAAGCGCTTATCTTCACTATTTCATACATAACAAAGAATTGAAGCCCCAGCCTCGACTCCGCTCTTTCCTACCCTCACCCTAAACCCCCTCGCTCTTTCGCCATAAGCAAAAGGCCCAGCCGTTCAAGATCCCAGTGAGATCGTACAGACCTTTCTTACGATTTACTCTTTCCTATCCCGTTCTGAAGTTCTGAATAAACGATCCCACACTCATGGTCTCCTCTATTTTTCTTCTGGTAAGCATTTGGATTGCTTCGATCATTGCCCATGCAGCAACACCTTTCACCGTGCCTTGGACGGGCCAGACATACGGCCCGGATGGTCCCTGGCAAGCTGTCCAGGTCAAAATCGGCAGCGACCGGCAAAAGATAGCTCTCTACCCCGGAGGAGCCTGGCAGAGCTACATCCTCCTCTCCTCAACTTGCTCTAATACTTCAATATCATCCTACTGCTATGCTAACCGGGCGGGTGTCTTCGACAAACTGACCTCCACCACGTATGACGACACGGCCATCCGGCTGACCATCAACGATGGAACATGGGGACCGCTACACTTTGGCGCTGCCACCGACAACCCCATCTACGGCACCGCCAAGTGGGCTCTCGATTCGATCGATATCTCGGGCGTCGTGGTCCCGTACGTCAGTTTGAACGTGGTGGACCAGGGGTACCAGATATACCCGGATGGGACCAATTACCCTCTCGAGCTTGGAGTCCTCTCCCTGGGAGCCCCCAGTTTACAACAGCAGTTCGCAAACCGAGGACAGCCCACCATCAACGGCACTTTTTTCGACAGTTAGCTGTTCACCTCCGGTGGCGGTCAGGCGATCCCGTCCTACTCGTACGGGATGCATATCGGCACGCCCACGTACAACCTGGCGGGATCCTTGCTGCTGGGCGGGTACGATCAATCCCGCGTACTGGGGGACGTCTCGTCCCAGCCATATTCCGATGATGGAGGGTTCCCGATCAAGCTTCGTGACATCAGTCTCGGAGTGGTCCGCGGAGGCTCGCCGTGGTCTTCCGCAACCACGAACAGCACTACAAACAACAACCCCACAGGCCTTCTCGCCGCCGGCAACTCCTCAATTTACCTCCAACGGAATAACCGTCTACTCCAGCCCCGGGGACCCCTACATCTACCTCCCCCAAAGCACCTGCGACGCCATCGCCGCCCACCTCCCCGTCACCTACCAGAGCACCCACGGCCTCTACATCTGGAACACCTCAACCCCCGCTTACCGCAGCATCATCACCTCACCCAGCTACCTAGCCTTCACCTTCGCCAAGGACAACTCCAACCGCGCCAACATCACCATCAAGATTCCCTTCGCCGTGCTGAACCTCACCCTAACCCCACCCTTGGTCGCCCAACCGACCCCCTACTTCCCCTGCCGGGGCACCACCACCGCCGGGGCTGTCTATGCCCTCGGCCGCGCCTTTCTGCAGGCCGCCTTCGTCGGAGTCAACTGGGGCGATAGCGGCAGTGGCACGGGCAATTGGTTCCTGGCGCAGGCACCCGGCCCCAATCTGCAGACGCCATCGACCACCGTTATCCAGCCCGAGGATACTACTGTCCTTGGGTCGGACAATGATTGGGAGGATAGTTGGTCCGGAGTGTGGACGGCGCTCCCGATTGCGACTGTTGCCACTTCCGCTTCCGCTTCGACGACGAATACCACCACGAATGGACGTTCATCTTGTAAGGATTGCAGCACTGAGATACTGTCGACAGGTGCTAAGATAGGGATTGGCGTCGCCTGCGGCTCGGTAAGTATAGGTGCGACCGTCTTATGCACGCTGTGGTGCGTCACTCGTCGTCGTCGTGCCTCTCTTGATAAGGTGGGTAGTGGTGGAGGCGGCAAGGAGTGGCCGGATTCGACGCAGGGTCCGAACTGGGCGGGTTATGAGTTTACGAGTACCCTTAGTGATAGTAGGGCCGGTGGCGGTGGTGGTGGATGGCCAGCGGGTCGGTCGCGGGCTAAACCCCCTGTCGAGCTTGGCGTATATCGTAATGAAGGACCGCATGAGATGGGATAGAATACAGAATCACGGTTTCATCTTGGGATGCTATCTTCGGTGCAGCTTTTTCATGCAAATATGCTCTTTGTCTTGAGAACCTTACTCAAGAGGGGCTTGGTGGGTGGCGCTGGTCATGGTCTTCCTGCTGCGGGGTTGTAGATTTCCTGTTCCAATGCCGAATCAAATCGCGGAGTCAATCTTTGTCATTGTTCAGGGCCTTGCTTGGTACTCCGAATGGCGGCAGGGGACAATAAGTTCCCTGTTTACATCCCTATCTACATATTATCTTGCAGGGAGAGAGTTGCGAACCCAGAAACTTGTCAGGGGACTCGGTTGATTGCCGAGCCATGGTTCAAGGGAACCAACCACCCCTGGGTTTGACATTTACCGTACCACGTTGGTACCAGGCGGCTGAACACTATGAACAGCTGCACTTCTCTCCTTCGATATTGCGGACAAATGCTTAGTCGCATTATTCTTGATCAAATTATGCCCGATTAAATAGATACTCGATTAAGTCGATGCTCGAACCCGGAACTGATCGCCAGGACACAAAATCAAAACCATTGCCGCAGCGGTTCCTCGCAAGCATACGATCCCGCCTCCCGTACATCACCACCCTTGTACATCGAAACCAGAGGCCACGGACACAGCGACCGCGTCCGCCCATCCGCCGCCTGCGCGTGCAGCGTCGCCGGCGCCACCCCACCTTCCACCCACGCGACGACCTGCGCCAACGGGTCCACGGGCACGGGGCCCTCGCCCCCGGAACAATGATGCACGCCCGGGGCCGGGAAGAAGCGATAGAAGTCGCGCACCGCCGGGTCCCGCGCCTGCACCTGCCGGTAATAGTGCTCGGTGCCCTTGGGGAAGATCAGCGGGTCGGCCAGCCCATGCCACGTGAGCAGTTTCCCGCCGGCGGATCGGAAGGCGGAGAGGTCCGGGTCGTCGGTGCCGATGATCGCGTTGTATCCGGCGATGGAGCGGGCGAGGATGCCGTCCAGGTCGGCGTGGTCGAGGGTGCTCAGGTCGAAGGCCGGGTCTTGCAGGACGAAGCGCCGGATCCAGTCGGAGGAGATGGCGAAAGGGGAGCCCGTACAGTTGGCTGGGGAGGTGCAGGTGGTGGCGGCGAGGCTGCTGCTGCCCATGGAGAGCGGGGCGCCGCGCTCGAGACCGTACCACTGGAACGTGCCGTTGGAAGACCGCATTCCGGTCCAGATCAGCGAGACAGCTAGCGCTGCGGGTTGGGTGACGGTCACGCTGGTGCCGTTGCATGCGATGGTTCGGTTGACTAAGGTGAGAGGGTCGAAGGTGCAGAGGTCGGGAGCTGAGATCACGCCGTCGGTGACACCGTCGAGGGCGTCGCAGGCGGTGATGGCGGCGGCGGTGATGGCGTCGGTCACGCACGTCGGCGGGGGTGACGGGAGCTGATTCATGACGAACTGCGGCCAGTATTCCGCCACCAGGAAGGTGGGCCAGTTGATGGCGGGGGCCGCAGCCATGATTCCGTTGTAGGCCGTGGGATACCGCTGCGCGAGCATGAGTCCTTGTCTGCCGCCGGTGGAGCAGCCGTTCCAGTACGAGCGGTTTGGGCCGTAGCCGTAGAAGCTGTGGCTGATTTGTTTGCCGATGACGGCCGCATCGTTCAACGCAACGTAGGCGAAGTCGTCGAGAAGGGCCATGTTCACTTGGTCGGATGCATCCAGTGACCAGGCGGCGGAGTTTTGAGAGACGAGCCCGTGGCCACCGTCTGTGGCTACAACGGTATAGTTGAGGCCGACCGCTTCTGCTAGAACCGAGTCGTCGTGACGCATTGCATAGCCGCCACCCCCGGAGCCCTGAAGCCGGCCGTTCCAGCTCGAGAGGGGAAGCCAGACAGTGGTGTGAATAGCGTCATTCTTTCCGGGATGGGTGTATGTGACGGTCACATTGCAGAAGCTCAACGTGGTATGGCCGTTCTGGTAGCCAGTGACTGGAATGGCAGTCAGCTGTAACAGCTGCCCATCAGGGATCGAGGGTTGGGCGATGCCGGCTACCGAGCAGTTCCCCGCATTCACTGCCGCAGCACCCAAAAGAGTTGCCGCAACGGCAGCCGAGGTTAAGCACCGGAGCTTGGGCAGGACCATCCTGGTAGAGAGAGTGAGGCGCTGGACTGTGACAAGCGTCTGTTGTGTTCCATAAGACTGGACATCAGCAATGCTTTATACTGAGTCCTGAGTCCGGATTTTCCAGATTTCTGCCTCGTTCGAGCCCGCGTGGAAATCCAAGAGACATCCTGGTGGATCAGCGGCATCACACGCAGCCCGTTCGCGTAGGAACTGAATCGCCAGGAAAAATATCCGCAGATACCAGTGTCCGTGCCATGGCGCGGGTAGCGGAGTGCGGTTTGATACGTTCCCTGATTAGGCAAATTCCCTTGTTGTGGAGGAACTCAGAGTATAGATCGACATGGACGGCAGCTCGATCGGGAGTTCGTCGGTGGAGTCGATCGGGACCCACCGCTGCTGGGCCATATGGCACTGGAGCCCGCTAAGAGCTGCCCGGAGATCGTAATTCAAATCAGAGAATAGGAGGCTCTGAGGACCTTGGATATTGGATATTAGGGAAGCCATCGAGAGGAGGATGTCTGAAGAATTGATCTTATGGTGCTTGCGAGCGGCCGACATTTGTGTTGGAGGCATTCATAAGCCCAGACGGGCTCTGTAAGAGCAGGATACGGTCATCAGAAGCAGATGCCATGTTCGCGCTGTCGATCTACTATGGAGAAGACCTCCCAGCAAGTAGCGTGTCTCGGATTGGGGTACCCAACCGAAAAAAAGCTCTTGTTCGCTATTCCACGCAGCCCAGTCCATCGATCGCTGGAATGCAATTGATAGGTCAGCAGGATAAAATCCGTTTAGTCAGTGCGATCATTTCGATCCTAGTCCCAGGGCAGCTAGATTAACACTGAAGATAGACTATCATGCAAGTCATATCTGTATTAGAAATCAGCTCGGCAAGCCACCTAGGGGGCATGAAAACGAGAGGTCAATCATATTCATCGACTGCATCGATTCCTGTTTCGTGTTGCGCTTAAGCTTCGGGTGATACTTACGGAAAAGGATTCCACAATCGATGCTCTAAATACATTGTGCTACAGTGGCACAGGTTCTTCGCATCGACTCGATTTGCGGCCTGCTTGACGGTGAGAAAGATCTGCATTTGCTTGGAATGGGTGTTTGCGCCGAACGGTGGGGGGGTGGATCGGATCGCTACAACATTTGCATTACTACCCCTCGTCCATCTAGCTAGGGAGAATCCTAAGAAGCTTTACACAGCATCATGCAGAGTAGCCTCGAAAGAGCAATTGCGGGCACACTTCAATGGCTTTTGGAAAGTATGAGGATTTAGCTGAGCCAGTCGGGTGGTGGGGGAAGCACATACAAGAAAAATAAACTCTCGGATGAGAACCTCAACTTTGGCACGGAAAGGTCCCGAAAGTCTCTCAGTCCATGTTTAGATCACATGACAGAAGTGCACATGTGCTTCACAGTTCGAATCCGCCCGAGGCACCTTTTGGTTTTGAGATTGATCATCGTTTGTCTCCTTGTGCTGAGCAATTTGCTTTCCCTAAATCGATTCATAGCGTCTACTACTTTACTATGAGGGTGAGCGAATACCATCCAGAGTGGAGTTCACATGGTGTTTCTCTAGAGGCGGTTGAAGTAGTCATATTATCCGGAACGTAGCCTTCAAGGTTACTAGTCGCGATGCTAAGCCCCAATAGTTCGATTAGAGGCTAACAAATGACTCACACAGCCAATCATGATAGAATCAAAGCCGCGCTAGTCTTTAGATTTATAAGCGAGGAGAGCTTGCACCAATCATGTTTGTCGCGACACAAGGCGCAGCTTGGAGCTGGGCTCAGCTATCCATGCATGCTGCCTGATGTGTTGCCTATTAGGGGCTGCTGTGCGGAGTATAAGTACTGTACAGAGTAGTCTACCTACATCCTTGCCACCATCATCTCTTTCCTTTTCATTAATATCTTCTCTCGCTTCACGGCATCAATTCTATCGACAAAGCGGATTTTGTTTTCCGTAGAAAAAAAAGAAGACACAAGCAAGATGTCCGACCATACCACCACCACCACCACCACCACAGACAACACAACCGAGATCCTCCTCACCTCCCTCCCCACCAAAAGCGTCACCTTCCAGCCAACCCGCGCCACTATCGTCCGCGAGATCCCCGTCACGATCCACGTAAGTCGCGTCCCATCCCCTTTTCTCTGATGATCTAGATGACTGACAGGGGGGAAAGCCCGGTCCCAACACCCTAACCATCCACGGCCTCGACCCCCAAGCAGACTTCGATTCGATCCGCATCGAGGGCTCGGGTCCCGCTTGCGTAACGGATTTCCAGACGGAGGTAGTCAAGTCGCGGCTCTATGCTTTGGAGGCGAACGAAGGGGAACAAAATGAAAGTAGTAGTGATTCGTCTTCATCCGAGGATGACGAGGCAGACGACGAGCCCGAGGAGCTTCGACTCGTGAGGGCGGAGCTGCGCACGGCGAAGGAGAAGGCGGCGTTGGCGGGGATCCGGAGGGATGTCGCGGGAAGTTTGATTGATTTCTTGCAGGAGCAGAAAAGAGGATCGGTTTTTCCAACGGCTGGAGCCGGGTTTGGGAGACCGCAGCAGCAGCAGCAGCAGCAACAACAGGTGGAAGTGTATAAGGTCGGGGAGTTCATGGATCTGTTTAATGCGCGGGGGAAGGAGGAAGGGGAGAAGCACTATCGTGCCCTTGTTGAAGTGGAGGAGGCGGAGGAGGAGGTGGCGAGGTTGATGGGCAAGGTGCAGAAGGTGGAGAAGAGAGTATTCAAGGAAAAGAGGAAGAAGGAGGCGGTGCGGGAGAAGGAGAGGCAGGTCCGCAGGAAGGAGAAGATGCAGAGAAAGGAGAGGAAGGAAAGGCTCGAGAAGGAGCAGAAGTCGTTTCGGAAGAATAGGGTCGGAGAGGTGGTCGTTCATCTGGATGGCGAGTCTTCTTTCGCTGATGGTGATGCTGATGTTGGGGAAGGCAAGAAACAAGGCGACAACAACGTCATGCTCCGGTTGAGTTATGTCGTCGCTGGACCCAGCTGGGTCCCACGGTATGATCTGAGTATCAACACGCCGGCCTCCTCGGCCAAGATGGTCTATCGGGCCGAGTTTCGTAATGCGTGCTCGGAGACGTGGCGCGATGCCCGCGTAACCCTGTCCACCTCGCAGGCCTCGTTTTCCGGGCTGGGAGAGCGCATTCCCTCGCTCCAGGCGTGGCAGTTGATGGTCCAAGCGGACAACAACAATAGGAACCAGGAGCAGACCTCCTGGGAGAACATTCTGCGTAGCAAGCCTGAGCAACGCCATCTTATGTCAGTGCAGACCCTCCACAAGCCGCTTTTCCAGCAGCAGCAGCAGCAGCAGCAGCAGCAGCAGCAGCAGCCGCGGAACGCATCTGTGTTTGGGCCCAATCATGTTGTTGCAGCGGCTGCGTCCAGACCCTCTGGTAATGCTGCACCAGCTGCTCCTCCGCAACAAGTTCAGGGCGGGTTGTTCGGACAAGCAGCAGCCCCTCCACCACCCCCACCCCCACCCCCGGCCCGGCAGTCTGGGGGGGCTCTATTTGGTGGACTACCACCAACCACCACAAGCGGTCCTTTGTTCGGTGCGCCAGCCAACCCACCGCCAACCGGCACCAGTGGTCCTCAATCTGGCGGATTCGGACGATCCACGAGTGGAGGGCTGTTTGGAAGTGTTCCCAGGCCTTCGCAAGCTCAGCCTACGGCGCTGATGAGTACAGCGACAACATTCATGCAACCATTTTCTCGATCCGGGGATGCAGACGAGGTCAATGATCCCACCGAAGAACCCAAGCCTTCCTTCGGATCACCACCATTAAAAGCCATTCCAGACCTGGAACACCAAGAATCTTTCCAGCAAGATTACGGCCTCACAACCACATACGACCTCCCCGGTCATCGCACCGTCATCCCATCCCTCGTGGCCCGACGCCACCTCCTCGCCGACCTCCACCTCGACTCCGTCACCCTATCCTACACCATCGTTCCCAAGCAACGCGCCGCCGCCTTCCTTCAGGCCAAGATCCAGAACTCCTCCGCGTCCGTGAGCCTCCTCCGCGGGAAAGTCGGCATCACTATCGACGGGACCTTCCTGGGGACCGCGGACCTGCCGAGCTGCGGGCCGAAGAAATCGTTCACCTTGCCTCTGGGCGTGGATCCACTGATCCAGGTCACGTACGGGCGGCCGACGGTGCGGCGCACAACGGGCAGTGGGGGCTTGTTCTCCCAGAAGGAAGAGGCGGCGGTGTTCCGCCGGACGTGCCGGGTCAAGAACACGCGGAGCAACGCCGTCGAGGTGGCGGTCGTCGATCAGGTGCCCGTCAGCGACGATGAGCGGTTGAAGATGCAGATCCTGGAGCCCAAGGGACTCGTCCGGGAAGGGGATGATGCGCAGATGAAGGAGGGGACAGTGCATCTGGGAAAGGCCGGGGAAGTCAAGTGGGTGGTCAAGTTGGCGCCTGGGAAGGAGGTGAAATTGGTGTTGGTGTATGAGGCCAGGGTGCCGGCAGGGAGTGAGGTCAGTGAGGTGTGAATGATTTCTCATCTCTCTTCAAACAGATATTCTGGCGCGGAGCTTTGTCGAGGCTCAGTCTGCTTTATGGTTAGTTATCATCTATCAGATAGCATCATTCGGAAACATCAATCACAAACCAAGTTAAGAATTAGAAACTCCTCAACCACGTAGCCTCTTTCCGACAGTTGGATTGGTGAACTCCATAGATTCAAACGAAATCACCACTCCCAACTCCCCGGCATCTTCCTCTTCCCCTCCTCCTCCTCCTCCTCCTCCCCCCTCCTGGGCTTTCTTCTCCGAAGACACCTCCTCGGCAGCCTCCCCCCACCTCTCGCGCCAAACGGCCAGCTCCTCCCGCCAGAGATCCCGTACGCAGGGGTCACACGAGCTGCCACAGCACTCGCCCAGCCCCGGCGGCGGTGGGGGATCGTTGTAGTCGCGCTCCGCCGCGCGGAGGAGCTGCTTGGCGCGCGTTCCCGAGAGATGTTTGCGGGCGCGGATGACCGTCGGCGTTTGCTCGGGCGTGTAGGCTGCTTGGGGAGACATCATTCTTGTAGCTTCCTCTGTTTCGAGATAGAGAGTCGAGTTGAAGAGTTGAAGTTATTTTAAGACTCAGTTCAATTGAGTTTTGAGAGCGATATAGATATATGTGCTTGTACATTTGCAGGACAGGGATTTTACCGATCTAGAGGGACTACGTAGGGAAGAGTCGGAGGGCCCGGTCGGGTGGGAACGGGGTGGGTTTGCCGGTTGAAGGTCTTATACTTGAGATTGTACTCATATGGTTCATTAGAAGTCGAATGATGATGCATCAGATAGATGATCATAATATCGTTGAGGATATGAGTAGCAAGATGCGATCTGTTTACATACAATTGACGAACTGTACTGTTGAGGGTGCAAAGTGTATGAGTGTAGGTAACCCGCAAGCGTTCGTTATCTTTCCGATTCGTAGCCGCCGCCATACCTTCTCTACATATACATGGACGTGACCCGAGGTCTAACAATCACCCGCTGGGCCGGCCAGCTTGGTGCCTGAGGATATAACTGTGGCTCCGAGACGGTATCCATACCAGACTTACACTTACCCTTACGCACGAAATACACGAAACACGCTGGCACTTCTCCCCAGCAACCTGAACCTCCGACCATCTATCCGCGGGCTCCTCCATGATGCAACGAAATCAACACAGGTATCATCCTCTGGACCCATAATGGATCGTCGTGCACATGTTTCAAAACCATCGCTGCGTTCTCTCCCCTCTTTTCCTTTGCCATTTTTCCCCCTCATCGACAGGTGGCAATCACAAGTATCTACACCTCCATCATAGTCAGACTTCTGCCCAGCTCTACGAGACGGAAGAACCCGGCTGGAATAGCTTCCTCAATCCCTGTCTGCGGCGGCTGCATGCTTAAATTGAAGGTCGGTTTGTCCGTTGGGTGGCAGCAGTTCAAAATCCCAGGCAAAAGCTCCCTCCCCCTGCTCGGTTACGTAAGGGACGCAGGGCGGCTGAGATCATATCTCGATCACCGCCAACCGCGTTTACTAGTGCCAACTTGGGCATGGTGCAGTAAGCATGGGTAAGAAATGTGAAAATTCTGAGAAAGGGGGAGGGAGGGAGAGATGGCGAAAAGATTGAAAGAGAGACTCCATCTGACTGTCCCCATTACTGGACAAGACTGCGAGGTATAAATATGAGAGCGTATCTCTCTTTCCTGGGGATGGAGTGCCGAAGGGGGAGGGGGGGTGGACGGGGGCTAACTACCCCGAGGTGGTGAGCGAAACCCGCGATCCGTCCACGACGGTATCTGCTGCTGCGTCGAATTGACCAGAGCAAAAAAAAAAAAAAAAACAAAGGCGTGCACTGCTACTGCTGGCACTAGTGCTGACCGTCATGGGATTTACCTCTCGATTGTTTTGTATTTTATTTCTTTGGTCGGAAGGGGGAGAAACAGCTGGGAGGATTTGTGACGTTTTTCGTCCCGAGGATTTAGTTTCTTTGGCTAGGGTTAGGGGGGGGACGATGGTGGGAAGCGGGAGTGCAGACGAGCTGACTTCTTCCACACCAAATTTGGCCGGTTTCTCTGATCTAT